CTCCAGCCTGGGTGACAGAGTGAGACCTTGTCTTGAAACCAAAAAGAAAATTTTAAAAAGAACTATTAACGCATAATAGTTTAAGGTAGCAGGTAAAAAAATTAAAATACGAAGAACTAAAGAAAACTGTATTTAAATAATTAATAATAAATCAACAGGGATTCTCAACAATGCAGAAATTACTTTTTAAAAGGAGCCAAACTAAAATTCTAGAGTTGAAAAGTAATCACCAAAATGAAAATATTCACTAGAAGAGCTCAACAGTAGACCCAAGATGGTACAGGCGTGAATCTGTCAACTCGAAGTTAGATCAGCACAGGTTATCATTATTAAGAACAGAAAGAAAAAAAGCTGAAGAAAAACAAACAGAACCTCAGAGACATATAGGCCAGCATCGAGCATCCCAAAATACACACAGTGGGAGTGGCAGGAGGAGAGAAGACAAAGACGCAGAAAAAGCATTTCAGCAAATAGTGGCCCAGAGCTTCCAAAAGGTGATGAAAAACAGAATATGCAGATATCTACACCTAAACTTCTAAACAACAGGACAAAATCTTGAAAGCAGCAAGAGAAAAATGACTGATCACATATAAGGGAGCATCAATATGATTAACAGCCAAATTCATGCTTGAGACACAGGAGGCTGGAGAGTGGTAGTATAAGATCCTCAAGGGCTGAAAGAAGAAGAAAAAAAAAGAACTGTAAACCAAGAATTCAATACCCAGCAAAACTATCCTTCCAAACTGAAAGTGAAATTGAGAAATGCTCAGATGAAAAAAAGACAGAGAATGCATTGCAAACAGACTTGCTTTACAACAGATGCCAAAGGAAGTCCTTGAGGCTGGAAGAAAACTACTCTAGAGAGTGGTCCCAGCCTGCAGGTAGACATGCAGAGCACCAGAAATGGTCGCTAGGTATGTTAACATAAAACACTCTGCAAATACACTTCTCCTTTATTTCCTTAACTTCTTTCAAAGATGTAAGATTGCATAAGACAATAACTTTATCCAGAATACATAAGGAACTCTTAAAATTCAAAAATAAACCAGGTATAGTGGCTTACACCTATAATCCCAACACTTTAGGAGGCTGTGGTAGGAGGATCACTTGAGCCCAGGAGTTCAAGACAGCCTAGGCAACATAGTGAGACCCTATCTCTACAGAAAAATTTAAAAATAGCCAGGCATGGTGCCGTGCACCTGTAGTCCCGGCTACCCAGGAGGCTGAGGCAGGAGGATAGCTTGAGTCCAGAAGGTCGAGGTTGCAGTGAGCCATGACTGTGCCACTACACTCTAGTCTGGGTAACAGAGCAGGACCCTGTCTCAAAAAATATATAAAATTAAAATTAAATAAAACTCAAAAATAAGACAGCCAAATTTAAAATGTGCAAAAGATTTGAGTTAATATCTTACTTTAAAAGATCTATGAATGGCTATTAAACACAAGAAAAGATATCAACATTGTTCATCAGTAAGAAAATGCAAATGAAAACCAAAGTGAGACACCACTCCGTACCCACTAGCACAGATAAGTTTAAAAACATAACACAATACCAAGAGTTGGTGAGAACGTGGAGAAACTGGAATCCTTATCCTTTCCTTTTTACTTGGAAGTAAAATGACACAGCATTTGGAAAGTTCAGTTGTTCCTTAAAATGTTAAATATAAATTTACATATGACCCAGTATTTCTAGTCCCAGAAAGCTACTAAGGAAAATGAAAACATAGATCCATATAAATATATGTACACAGATGTTCATAGTAGCATTATTCATCACAGTAAAACTGGCGGCTGGGCGCGGTGGCTCACGCCTGTAATCCCAGCACTTTAGGAGGCCGAGGCAGGCGGATCACGAGGTCAGGAGATCGAGACCATCCTGGCCAACACGGTGAAACCCTGTTTCTACCAAAAATACAAAAAATTAGCCGGGCGTGGTGGCGGCGCCTGTAGTCCCAGCTACTCAGGAGGCTGAGGCAGGAGAATGGTGTGAACCCGGGAGGCGGAGCTTGCAGTGAGCCGAGATTGCGCCACTGCACTCCAGCCTGGGGAACAGAGGGAGACTTTGTCTCAAAAAAAAAAAAACAAAAACTGGCAACAGTTCAACGCCCATGAGGTGGCGAAGGGACAATAAAGGAAGCTCAGCAGCAAAAGGGGACCGACTACCCACGCGTGCTTCACAGGGACCGCCTCGGTGACGCTGCTGAGTGAAAGAGGCCAGATGCAGAAGGCTCTCATGCCTGACTCTACTTTCAGGAAACGTCCAGAAAGACAAACTGATGGAGAGAAAGCATTGCCAGGGGTGGCCTAGCACCGGGATGGGAGCTGGGACTAACAGCAAATGGGCATAACAGTAGTTTTGGGGTGATGGAAATGTTCCCAAAAAAGAGGGTTGTGATGGTGACACAACTCTATTAATTACTAAAATCACAGAATTACACAGTTATGATGGATGAATGTATGGTGGATTATACCTCAATAAAGCACTTTCTCAAACACGACGAAGGAATGGCAGACAATACCTCCCTCCAGGCCTGCTGCCGGCCGGCCAGCGACAGAGACCCCCCCTCCCCGCACTGGGCCCGCCCCTGCGCCCGCCCGGAGCAGTGCTCTACACTTGAGTGTTTCAGCGTCTGGGTCCTAATTCCTAGTGGGAGCACAGAGGACACAGGGAATGTTGGGAGCTACATGGACCATGTCTTGGTCCCATGGGACCTGGCGCTACTTGACCCAAGGCCACACCAGCTTGTAGACACGAACTTTTGGGGAGACTCTGAGTCCTAAGAGATCCAGCTCTCCATGCCACACAGGCGGAAAGGAAGTAGCTGGAGAGTCCGCAGCCCACACCACCCCGTGCTCCACGGCCTCACCCCCAGGCCATCACAGAGCCCCAGTCTCCCGCCACTTCAGTGCAACCCTTGCAGTCTGCCCACTCCTCCAGACATGACGCTTAGGACCTTACCTCGCTCTCCAGCTCAGAGCCCGGCTCCCATGGCGGGGTCAGACCTGCCCTGGCCTCTCCCCTCCGCCTGAGCCACGCCTGGCTTCCTGCTCACCAGGCCTGCGTTAGTATCTGCAGCTGTGCTTCTCTGGCCGCCGCAACACCGGCCTTCCCGCATTGCTCCAAGACACCGAGCCTGGTGCATGCTCAGGAAATTCAACAGTTTCAGAACACTGTCACTTTCCCCGCCTGACGACCAGCGCTGTACTCTACTCACAGGGCAACCTGCTTTAGCAAACTCAGCGACACATTAAAAAGCACAATTTGCAAAGAAAGGCAAAGGAGGGCTACCACCTGGCTGGTGTCACCTAGAGACTGGGCCCCGGGAGAGCGCTCCTCGGTGACCTTGCGAAGGATGGAATTTACATGAAAAAGGCACAGTCTTTAGTCCTGGAAAGTCACCCTGGGATTCTCCAACTCCATCCGTCTTTTTCACAGGCAGGGAACTGAGGCCCCAGGAGGCCCAGGTCACCCCACCCCAGGAGGCAAGGCCTCCCCTGCGCTCTCTGGAACCTGTCCCTGGCAAGAAGCCAGAGGCCCTGTTTTCTCAGGCTTAGGAATCTGCAGTCTCTTGTTCAAAGCCTGCGGGTCAGAAGAGGAGGGCCACGTGCTGCCTTCAATTTCTCTTATTGCTCAAACGGAAAACAATGAAACAGGGCTGGCCACACACAGCCTGCCGCCTGCCAGTCATTTAAGGCCTGGCGCGCATTTCCATAGCTCCTCTGACGCCAGGAAAATCAGAGCCATCTCCGGAGGGCTCCTGCCTCTGGATGTCTAAATGTTCTTACCTTAAATACAGTGTGACGCTCCACCCCTCCCACACCGCGCACAAACGAATTTTAACAAAATCTTAAAACCAGAACTTAACAAAAGGTTGCTTGCTACCAGGTCCATTCGGTTCCGTGTGAAACCAACTAGGAAAATCCGCATGAGGCTTTTCCTCAGCTGCGCCGAGGGCCTGGTTTCCAGTCATCTGAGAAGCTGTGTGCGCCCCGTATGGTCTGTTCTTTCCTTCAGGGCTCGCCTGTGTCAACAGTGAGTGTTGTGGTGGCAACTAAAATAAGGAGCCGTCCAGCGCGCCTAGGGTGGGAAACCTGGGCAACTCCGCAGGCGCCGGCACCGGCCACAGACCCACGCCTGGGGCACTCGCGTTTATATTCAGCAGAGCACAGGAGTCAGGCAGCGCGGGCGGGGGCGGGAAGAGGCGTCTGCGCACTGGCCACGGTGTGGGGGACCCAGCCCTGCCCTTCCCGGGGGGCTGAGTGGGACTCTCCACGGGGCCAGCGGGTTTTCCTGGCTTTTCTGCCCCTCTCCGGTGGATATGCAACCTTTCCAGTTTGAATTCCACCTCGGTTTAATCCACTTTTTAAACTCATGAAAGGATGTGATTGTAGATTTGAAGACATTCATAAAAAGTCATTTAGGCAATAAATACTATAGGAGTACACTGTCTTTAAAAAGTATAAATAAATTATTGACTGTGCACGGCTGATTTGAAAGGAAATTCATTCTGGGAGAAATAGAGAAATAGGAGATTAAAATGAACATCCAGGGCTCTGTCTCCATGAATTAGTTTTCTACACTTCTGTCTTCTCTTGTTTTTAAATTGTGGTTTGCAAGTGTCACTTTCCAATATGATCAGAATTCGGTAAGCGTTGAGGAAGTAAAGAAATTCTACTTAATAAGAAAAACTCTGAAAGAGGATTAAGTATAGAGGATAAATAACTCGGAACATAGTGAGGGACAGGGAGACCCCCCCATTAACAAATGGAATGTGTCAAGTTGACAGAGGAATTCCAACAGAGTGACTCTGAGATAGAGCCCAAATTCACTGAATTGGTATTTGTTAGAAACAGCAAGAATTCCGGCGAGTCCCTTACCACATGGTACTGACATCTGAGCCATGAACAACAGAAGCTTGTAATATAACACTAATAATCAAAAAATTACCAAATACTTCCAAAATTACTCACATCATTCCACGTAATAGCCACAAGAGCAATTTTCCTAGTAGAACAATTTATTAATGAATATGCAATAAAATATCTCCCCAAAATCTTTCCAGAAATGACAAAGCAGGAAGTGAATACTTTACGCTTCTCTGGAAATTTTTAATGTAAACATGACATATTTGAAGAACTGACTAAAAAGTCACAAGTGAATCTGTAAATACATTTTTAAGTCTGACTTCAAATCGGTACATGAGGCTTAGACATACACGTCATTGGACAAGTGACTTAAATATCTAAATACAAATCAAATAGCATTTTCATAACTTCAACTATAAAAACACAAATGTCAACAGGTACTGCAAATCTAAGATGAACAACTTGAAAAATACCATAATAAGTGTTGTAAAAGGGGAGGACTCATATGACAGAGCTTGAAGGAAAAGTGGGACATCACGGGAGGCAGGTCCCCCCGTGGACGTGATTCCATGCAGGCGTGGAGTCCTGCTGCCAGCGGCGTGATCCTGAAATATTGAAAACCCGCAAGACAAGTGATACCTTCAACGAAGCCACAAATCAGTGAGCACATCCCATGACAGGGTGTTTAAAGACCAAAAGAAAAAAAAACAGAGGCAGAATTCCCCTAATAACTCTGCCACACAGTGACCACCATCGAGTGATCCAACGGACGCGTCATGGATGAGGGAGATTCGGAATTTGTTCAGTAAGGGACGCGGCTTCTAAGCTATTCAATATTCTCCACACCCACTGTTTGGAATCAGACATCTCTACATTAGTTTCAAACCAAACAGTGTTAAAAGTCACATGCTTATACCATCACATACAGGAGTCACAAGAGTTAATGATATCTGGGGCATCCTTCATGCACTCCTTTAAAATTCTGACCAGTTACTCTCTTAACAGATGTCCATTCACCAGTTCATACATTTTACAAGTCTAAAAGTAAGTCATATTCTTCTACTAAAAAAAATGAGCAATAAAAAGGTTTAATTATCATGAATTCCTATACATTTTGGAAATTAACTTTTAAAGTTCAGCAAAACATTAGGTACTTAACAACATGTACGTGATCTGTCCAATAGTTTAAATTGATAAGAATTACTCCATGTCTTAGGAATAATTGCCTCGAGTCCCCAGAGTACTGAACCTCGGTTTCATCACCTTCTTAAATTCAGACTTTATCCATGTAAACTGGGAAACTCGAATCTCATATGTAGTGAAAAGAGGCCATGGTCTTCACAGTGCAGTAACCGTTCATTATCCCAGGGGAGGGAAGAGGCAGAAATGGAGCTGAGGCCGAGGCGTTTCTGGAGGGCACCAGCACATTTAAACTCACAGAAGGCACTTGAGGGGCTTTGAGGGGCTTTGCAACCAATGTTTTCTGTGACAAGGGGAAACTTTGTAAACAACTGTAAAAGGTGGCTCCAACACCATGAAGCTTCCTGTTTCACTCAAAAGGCCACACTCAGTATATAAAAATGGGGTAAGATGCTAATATATTAAACAATTTATCAACATTTAAAATTATAGATATCTTACAAAAACCTGTGATAAAAATTATTTCTTCCAACAGGAAATAAACACAACAGTATAAAAGGCCTCTTAATTAGCACATACTAGCTGGGAGAGGGGGAAAGGAAGCCTTAGACCTGAGGTCCAAAAGCTTCAGAACGGCCGGGTGCGGTGGCTCACGCCTGTAATCCCAGCACTTTGGGAGGCTGAGGCAGGTGGATCCGCGGTGGCTCATGCCTGTAATCCCAGCACTTTGGGAGGCTGAGGCAGGTGGATCATGAGGTCAGGAGTTTGAGACCAGCCTGGCCAGCATGGTAAAACCCCGTCTCTACTAAAAAAAATACAAAAAATTAGCTGGGCGTGGTGGCACGTGCCTGTAATCCCAGCTACTCTGAGGCTGAGGCAGGAGAATTGCTTGAACCCGGGAGGTGGAAGCTGCAGTGAGCCGAGATCGCACCACTGCACTCCAGCCTGGGTGACAAAGCGAGACTCCATCTCAAAAAATTAAAAAAAGCTTTATAACATAAAGCATTCCTTCCTAATTAAACTTCATGCACATTTGTAACACTGAAATATTTTTAATATTAAAATGTTCAACATTTTCTTAGTTCAAGGCCAGTGAGAGAGAAGGCTCACACTGCCCACATTCTGTAGTGGGTCATTCAGGGCCATGCGTCACACCCACTGTGCTTACGGCGCTTTCACTGAACAAGACGTTCGGTTGTGCTTCTTCCATGAATTCATAAATTAAAAGGTCAGTACTCAATGCCGGGTTACAGCGTCTGAGATTCATTCACGAAATGACAGGATGCTGATCTGGTTGCAGATGTGGTCTGAGTCTCCAAGGATAAATGGCTCTTGGGATATGGTTGCTATGACAATGTTGTTGCTAGGATAATTCCAAGGATCACAAGCAAAATAATTACACAAATAATAATGAATATCATTTTCTGCAAGATAAAGAAAAACATTAATTTGCAATGTATCAAAGAAATCAACAATGTCATCTGCTAACTAAATCCTTCTGGGATTTGGGATAGTTTAAAAAATATATCCAGGGGGCCGGGCGCAGCGGCTCAAGCCTGTAATCCCAGCACTTTGGGAGGCCAAGACAGGCGGATCACGAGGTCAGGAGATCGAGACCATCCTGGCTAACACAGTGAAACCCCGTCTCTACTAAAAAATACAAAAAACTAGCCGGGCGAGGTGGCGGGTGCCTGTAGTCCCAGCTACTCGGGAGGCTGAGGCAGGAGAATGGCGTGAACCCGGGAGGCGGAGCTTGCAGTGAGCTGAGATCCAGCCACTGCACTCCAGCCTGGGCCACAGAGCGAGACTCCGTCTCAAATAAATAAATAAATAAATAATATATCCATCATCAAGAAAGGACTCCTCCTTGTCATAGAAAAGAATGTGCTCTCAGCTCACTGTAACCTCCGCCTCCCGGGTTCAAGCGATTCTCCTGCCTCAGCCTCCCGAGTAGCTGGGATTACAGGCACCCGCCACCATACCCAGCTAATTTTTGTATTTTTAGTAGAGACAGGGTTTCAGCATGTTGGCCAGGATAGTCTCGATCTCTTGACCTCATGATCCACCCACCTCAGCCTCCCAAAGTGCTGAGATTACAGGTGTGAGCCACCACGCCCGGCCGACACTTTCTTTTAATCATAATAAAACCCCAGGATTGCTGTTAATTGGATGAATTACACATCTTTTTAAAACTTTACATGAATTTCTTGTTGGCTGAAAAATCCTATATTTTCTTTCTTTTCTGAAAGGAGGTGTCACTCTGTTGCCGAGGCTGGAGGGCAGTGGTGCAGACATGGCTCCCTGCAAACACATCCTCCTGGGCTCAAGCAATCCTCCCACCTCAGTGTCCCAAGGAGCTAGGATGACAGGCATACACCACCATGCCCAGCTAATTAAAAAATACGTTTTTAAGAGATAGGGTCTTCCTATGTTGCTCAGACTAGTCTCGAACTCTTGGGTTCAAGGGATCTTCCTGCCTTGGCCTCCTGAAGTGCTGGGATTACAGGCATGAGCCACTGCACCTGGCCTTATCTATTTTCTACATTTAAATGTGACGAACATGTGTAAGAAATCAACAAGACATTCATTCATTCTTCTACTGCATTGATGGTCTCAAAGCAGGGCGCGACACAGCATTTAACTTTTTTAAAATTAACAAGTATCCTCACACAAGGGAAAGCGAGGCCACCTTTGGCTTAATAAATGGAGTCTCCTCCAGGAAGTTGTCTGAGGGAAGGGAAGGAAGACACGGCAGGAGGCACCGCGCTGTAGGACTCTGAGTTCTCTTTTTGAAAAGCAGAGATCGAGATCCATCATTTTAATGACAGTTTCAAATGTATGAGTGCTTTTACCTAAGAAATCCTGTTTACTGAGCCTGGACAGCTCTAATACTGCAGCTTCAGTCAGTTATGCAGGGTTTATCAAGAGGCCCATGGCAGGCCCCGGTGAGCCTCCCAGTGACTCCTCACCCAGCCCCAGGAAGGCCAATTGCTAAAGGATGAAAGGCTATGTTAATATTTTAAAAGTGAAATTAAGGACCTTAACCACTGCCTTCCTACGCAAAGATAACTGCTGGTATTCATTTTGGTCTGTTTTTTATGAATGAGGATCCTTCTGTGTTCATTCTTATTTACATACACTAGGGTGAAATGGCCAGCCAGGCCCAGGGCACAGGGGTCACACTGAGAGAAGCCTTCTTTTAGTCAGCCTCAATGCCAAGTAGTGCCCATGAAAAGTAGCGCATTTCACTGTGTCCAAGCTAAAAATTGTAATTTTATCTTTAGTGTAACCACATTAAACTAACCATATGATAGTATTATGAAAAAACTCAGAAAGTACATGTTAGAATCATGAAAATATTGAAAAATACCACTATAACAATGAAGAAAAATCACATGTACAGTATGTTCAGCAGAGCTCAGAAGAAAAAAATAGAACATCTTGCCTAATAAGCATCCTACACAAACAACCTGCCTAATAAAAATAGAGTGTAAGAGAGTTCTGACTGCCAAATAATGGAATGTTAACACACGCAGCATCCCAGAGCTCCATATGGAGGAATTCCAGGTGTAATTCTATGGCTTGTGCATAAATGTCAGAACACTAACTTGAAAACTTCTCATCTGGTAACTGCGTATGGTGAACGTAACAGATGCTCACATTAAGATATCAATCTTTTGTTTTGAGACGGTCCCGCTCTGTCACCCAGGCTGGAGTGCCGTGGTGCGATCTAGGCTCACTCTAGCCTCGACCTCCCCAGACTCAGGTGATCCTCCTGCCTCGGCCTCTGGAGTAGCTGGGACTATAGGTGTGTGTGCCACCGTGCCCAATTAGTTTTTTGGATTTTTTTTTTTTTTTTTCTGTAGAGACAGGGTTTTGCCATGTTGAAGGAATAAATCTTACAGATTACAAAGCAGTAGTGAGACTTAACTATGCTCGTGATTCCTTTCTGCTGTATGTTAACTTTTTAAAAAGCCTTAGGTGACTATCAAGTCTGCAGTCACTTCCATAACCCAAGAATAAATTCATCAAGGATGACTTGCCACACTCTAGACACCTGGGGACATTTCACAATTGTCTAATACATGAATTATGCCAAACAAACACTTACAGAGAAATCCCCGCTGTGTCCAACTGTAACACACTGACAGCATTCCCACTTCAGGACTAGTGCCAGGAGGGCTCCCAATGCGTGAGAGAACCAGGGGGAACCACAAAGCCCGCTGGAGTTTAGGAAAGGTGGCGCTCACACCGTGAGCAAAGGCAATGATTCTTTCAATCAACTGGAATTTTATATTCAGAATTCTTTAAGAATTAACAGGCATGCGAACCAAATATAATACATAAGTTTCCTTTTAATATTAAAGAAAATATTTTTAAATAAAATAGATGCTGCCAAATAGAAAGGTCAAAGGATTTTCCTTTTGGTCAATGTTTTTCTGAGCATGAATTCATGCCCTCAATTCCAGTAAATGATGCGTTAATGGATTTCATAAAGTACCTTTCAGTGTTGCCAATTACTCTAAAAATTAAAACTCAGGAGACAAAACATTACAAGTTTTGTAACTGAGAATTAATCTTCACTGATATTTCTATGACATTTAATGAAGGACCCACTACCTGTAAAGAGCTAATGGTCTCCTTAGATCAAAAACCAAAGATTCAGGCTGAGTACAATGGCTCATGTCTGTCTATGATCCCAGCACTTTGGGAGGCCGAGGGCCAGGAATTCAAGACCAGCCTGGGCAATACAGAGAGTTCTCATCTCTACTAAAAATAATTTTTAAAAAAATTAGCCAGGTGTGGTGGTGCATGTCTGTAGTCCCAGCTACTCGGGAGGCTGAGGTAGGAGGATAGTTTGAGCCCAGGGGGTCAAGGCTGCAGTGAGCCATGATCATGCCACTGCATTCCATCCTGGGTGACAGAGCAAGACCCTGTCTCAAAAAAACTTTTAAAAACAGGATAAGAAGGTAGCCTTGGTTTAAAAATGAGTTACCACCCAGCCTATGCTTGTTCTCGGCAAACACAGTGGCTGGGCACTAGAATCAGCACACAGGCAGATGTATCACTGGACGGCGTTATCTGTACTGCGTGGCGGGCAAGCTTTTATTAGTTTTATGTCTATTACAATTAAGCAAACACTGTTACTGGTTAATTGCAAACGTTAATAAGTAAATTAGTTGATGAGTTACTTACTCCCACCCTGGCGGAGAGGCATGCACACTGACGTTATCCACACCATCATTTGCCAACTGACAAGCCAATAATTAGAGCGATTATGGCAACCAGAACCACTGACACAGCAATAATTATCCACTTTTTCTGTCAAAGAAAAGCAAGCTGATTACATCACGCATGGTTAATTTCATATTGCCACATTAAAAGACATCCTTCATTCAAAATAAAACGACCTGACCGGGTGCAGTGGCTCACGCCTGTAATCCCAGCACTTCAGGAGTCTAAGGCAGGTGGATCACCTGAGGTCAGGGGTTTGAGACCAGCCTGGCCAACATGGCAAAACCCTGTCTCTACTAAAAATACAAAAATCAGCTGGGCATGTGTCTGTAATCTCAGCTACTCAGGAGGCTGCGGCAGAAGAATCACTTGAACCCAGGAGGCAGAGGTTGGAGAGAACGAGGATCATGTCACTGCACTCCAGCCTGGGCGACAGAACAAGACTCCATCTCAAAAAAATAATAATAAAATAAAATAAAGCCAAACACCCATCAGAACTCACTTTAGAAGCTAAGTTACAGGACACTGCTTAATCCTGTTGGGCGATTTCCTGAGATGGTGACTTAATAAGGTCAGACTACTTGGAGATAAGCTGCTATGTAACTGTTATTTCAGGTTTCATCCATGGGGACAGCACGACCATGTTATTTTGCCACATTTCTGATGACGGAGACGTGCAGTTAGTCTTCCGCATGTACAGAGTATGGGCCTGCTAGCTCAGTGGCGGAGAGCCCCATTGCCTCTTCAGGAAGCCCTACACATTCAGCACTCGGCCTTTTGCTCCTTCTTTTATGTTCTTGGTGGTTACTTCTTCACTGCTCCTGACATAGCACACGGAAAAAAAAAAAAAAAAACTCTTCTACAAACGGTGCCTGGCCTCCCTCCGAGGGCCACAGGGCTCCCTAGGAATAAATGCAGGACACTAGGAGTGGGGACGACCCACACCTGAGCCAGGGGCAGCAGCAAAGCATCTGAGTGGCAAGGGGACAGGCAGGCAAGCCAGGAGGGCTCCATTGGCAGGCATCTAATCAAAAAGACAGTGTCATTTCTGAAACAGGCATCACGTCTCTGACCAGTTTACACGCCAGGTACCGTACAGACCCCAAGCACCTCACAGAGCCAGGCTTGCTCATCCACAGGGGAGAATGAAACCGTTTACACACCCCCCACCTTCCTCCTTTGTAAAACCAATGGACTTTCACTATCGTTTTCACAGGACTGATGTGTTCAGGTCATGGAGAAAGGAACGGGGCTGCCTTCTTTTAATGAAGCTGACTTAGGCCTGGAACTAAGTTAAGCACTTTATACAGGTATCTCTTCACCTCAATTTACATTAGGGGCCAACTGTTTTGAAGCAATAAATGAAATAACATGAGAAACCATATCTGGCATTTCAGAGATGAGGAGCATACTTAGACATACCCAGGAAAAGCGGAGGGTGCGCCCTGGTGGCTGAGCCTGCAGCCCGGGGGGGGGGGGGCCGTTGGGGGGGGGGGCGGGGGGGGGAGTGGGGGGGGGGCGGGGGGGGGTGGGGGGGGTGTGAGCAGAGGGTGTGCCCTGGCAGCTGAGCCTGCAGCCCCAGGGTGTGAGTGAGGGTGTGGCCTGGCACCTGAGCCTGCAGCCCAGGGGTGTAAGCAGAGGGTGTGGCCTGGCGGCTGAGCCTGCAGCCCAGGGATGTAAGTGGAGGGTGTGCCCTGGCCACTGAGTCTGCAGCCCCGGGGTGCGTCTCAGGGCCATCGCCTGGAGGTGCATCCACACACACAGTCTCACTCCATTTGTTCCTAACTCGGTGAAAATCTCTCTTTACAGAACTTCTGCTGACATCGCACTGAGCCGTCAGCCTCTGAGAAAGGCACCGTGCCCCCACAGCGGTCTTCAGGAAGCGTGAGTGGATACCCAAGCCGGGCTGGGTGCTTGGGTATTCATCTTTCTCCACACTGGAGAGAAACGGCCAGGCAGGAACACACAGTGAGATGCACAGGGCCCAAGTCACTCGGTGGAAATGAGCTTTGTGGTTTCCTAAGTTTGCTCAGAAGAGCTTTCATTCACGCATGATACTCTTTAGATTCAAAGATATTAAAACTCATTTAGAAAGCTCACAGCATCCTCAGCATCTCTGTGTATTAGCACAAGGAGGTGACAATGTGGAAAACCCATGACCTCTGCAGTGTCAGAGGCACTATGATAAAATGCCTAAGTTAGGGGAATACGTTTCAAATTTTTGCCCCGTAACAAAAAAATCACACAGGGTTCCCTGAACCCTTTTAAATGCAAAGTCTGTGCATCTTAAGTGAAAGGGGCTCCCTTCTTTTGAGAATCCCTTTAAGTGGGTGCTACCTAAGATTGCAGGTCCACGGTCTCAAATAATTCTCTTCTTTCCTCCAAACCAATAATTCACAAATAACCTAAATAAAAAATCAGTGTTCACTGCATCAAATGTGTAGCCAACAATCTGGTGCCAGGCGCCATGGCTCACTCCCAAAGTGCCTGTAATCCCAGCAGTTTGGAAGGCGGAGATGGGCAGATCACTTGAGGTCAGGAGTTCGAGACCAGCCTGGCCAACACGGTGAAACCCTATCTCTACTAAAAATACAAAATTAGCCTGGCATGGTGGCCGGTGCCTGTAATCCCAGCTACTCAGGAGGCTGAGGCATGAGAATCACTTGAACCCGGGAGGCGGAGGTTGCAGTGAGCCGAGATCACTCCATTGCACTCTACTAGCCTGGGCAACAAGAGCGAAACTCCAATCCAAAAAAAAAGAAAAAGTGCTGGAATTGCAGGCATGAGCCACCACATCCAGTCCTGGGGTTTTAATTACTTAGAACACAAAAGGGTTTATACTACAAATAATTCATCCAATAAACTTTTTAAAATTTTTAGCAAAAAGAATTATTTCCATTTTTAAACAATTATTTTAAATTGAATATTTAAATTGAATATTTAAAACAAAACATTTATTTAATTAATCATTTCTTGGAATACCTTTCAGGCAGGCTTACATCAATGTATCACAACTTGAAACCAAATAAAGGGAAAAACGCAGCTTAATTCTTCCAAGCCAAACTCACCCTTCTCGCCTTGCTCTGATATTTGATAGCTTTTTTTGTTTCTTCTTTAGCGTGTTCTACATAGTCTGTGGCATTCATAATGTTTCTTTCTATGTTGTTGATCATTTCACCCTTAAAACAAAAGTTTCAAACTTAGAAGACATTTTCAAATGGCTTAATTATGTATCTTTAAGACAACCATAGAACAAAGGTTTTATGTAAACATGATGTGCATGTAATGGATACTGAGGGTTTTTTTCACATTTACAGAAAGATAAAAGATGAGGCCATTATACATGTGCCGGTGCAAAGCAATCAAAACTCAACTTATATTTTAAAAAGAACGGAAAGGAAAGGGCTGCCATGTTGATAATTAAAGGCATCTCAAGTCAATTCTGAGATACCTTTGGCACGCAGACACTGCGACAGACGGGCAGGGGGAGGAGGCAGCCCGCTTTCGGTTGAGCTAGTATCTTACCATTATGCAGACAGACAATGTACAAAGAATGACATCTTTTCCACAAAGTACAAAACTGTAACTACCTCTTTAATCAGTACACTGAGCACAGCTGACATCTGACACTCAGCTGACTACATCAATGAGCAAAATGTAAACAGAGGTGAATTCAGCAAAGTGTGAGGGAGAAAACGTATTACCTGGTTTTCTGTCCACAGACACAACCTGCAGCAGTGAATCGTAAAGCATTGAAGAATGACGGACAGTTAACTCACTCAGTCACAAACTTCAACTTACTAGTAAGCTCTGACTATGCAAACATTTGCATTAGATGAGTCAATATAATGTAATACCAACAGACTTCTAAAAGGAAACAGTGAAACAAAGCCAGGGATACAGCCATTTTTCTAACCGAGCTTAATGCAATGCATTTGGTATAGAGCAATTACAACTGAAGTCTAAGGTACTACAAAAGCTTTAGTAATTACAGAAATCATCTCTCATTCTTTCTGGCCAGCTGGTTGCCTTTGGAATGCTTCCTGGTAATAAGTAGCCAACGGTAATCAGACTCCCCACACTCCACTTCTCATATCGTGAATAGCAATGGGGCCCCCAAATCAAAAAGGAGTAAGATCATCCCATCCCTGCCCTCTGTGTAGCTGCTGGTTTCCTCTAGCAAATGCTTAGAAATACAAACGTTAGCCGGGCATGGTGGTGCACACCTGTGCTCCCAGCTGCTCGGGAGGCTGAGGCGGGAGAATTGCTCGAGGCCAGGAGGCAGAGGCTGCACTGAGCCAAGACTGTACTACTGCACTCCAACTTGGGCAACAGAGCAAGACCCCGTCTCAAAAAAAAAAAAAAAAAAAAAAAATAGGCATGGTGCCTGAGTTTTTCACACACATTCTCATGATAAAGTTCCTCGAAATGAACAGTGTTTCTTAACAAGGTTGGTGAGGCAGGCAGGAACAATTCTGCGTGTGGGTGGATTCCTGTCCCACCTTACACAATCCAGGCGGTCCCAGAAAATAAGCCCATCAGATGTGAACCTATTTAGGGGACGACTGCAGCCAAAACAGATCCTGAAACCAGCCTCAGGAGGAGTGAGGAAACCATTTTCTTAGGATGGTTCGATATAAATGCTTCCGCTTCACCTGGTGGTCAGCTGAATCCTAACCAGCAACAGAGTCCTATCTCCATGGTGTTTGAAAAATAGGGAGAGGACCTTATTCAAAGGCAAAGAGCGAGTGTGAACATCCCCATGCACATCACGGAGCATGTGAACTGTGATCCATCCCGTACTTTACACGGAGTTACATACATACATACATATATACAATTTTTTTTTTTTTTTGGAGACAGGGTCTCAGTCTGTCACCCACGCTGGAGTGTAGTGGCGTGACCATAGCTCACCACAGCCTTGAACTCATGGGCATAAACAATCCTCCCACCTCAACCTCCCAAAGGAGTTTTCCATTTTTTAAGAATTGCATTAACTCTTCAGTTCACTCAGAAGGGCCCTTCCACTCCTGCTGTCACTCCCTGTCTGTGTTACTGGGCAGATGGGAAACCCCGTGTAACAGGCACGAGCTTTTACCTGTGTCATAGATTGTATCCCCACTTGGGGTTGATTCTTTCAGACATTTCTCCTAGTTATTACTGTAATATATGCTCCTTGCAGACAATCTGAAAATAAGTACTTTTAGAGAAGATTAAAATTCCCATAGTCTCACTGCCAATACGCTATTTGATATACGCCTCTCCTTCTGTGAATACTGTTTTATGGAGCTGAGCTCATGCCACATGCTTGCATTTATGTATTCATACATATGCACGGACATACAAAGAAGATCTTTGTATCTCCCTTTTCTCCTAATTCTAGCACACATCTCTGTATATTTCAATGAGAATTCCCCATGAACAAAGTTGAGGTTGCCTGTGGTTGCCTAAAAGGCTGACCTACGAACGCTCCATAATTTAATTCACTGGACCAGTCCCTTCCTGTTAACACTTCCACTGTCAAAGCTGCTTCCAGCATTTCAGCATCACACATAACACTGCAATTAACTTGAATTTGGTGGATTCAAAATAACAGCTTTCCTAGATACATCCACTAGATAGAGCGGGATGCAGTAAGATCTTACACATGACTGTATCTCTCTTGGAGAATGCAAGAGTCTGTAACTACCTGAGTCTCCACAAACATAGCCATGTCCATGAACATCTCATGCAACTCTCTGATGCTGGTCTCCAGCTTCATGATGTCCTTGTGACGTGACTCGATTTCATTGAGAGCTTGTCTAGTAATTTGTGAATCTGATATAATCTTGGAAAAACAAAAATAAAAGAGAATATTAATAAACTGACGATGGGTTTGGGAGTTAAAGGGTTTTTAGAAAGCTCTGTCTACAGAAGAGGATATGGAGCCACAGGGCCGTGCCCCCACTCACGTCGGAAATGAAGATGGACGGCTTCCCGCTCTCCAGCATCTCTTCCAGCTCGTCGTCTGTGGTGGTTCTCCCAGCTGAAAGACCCGCAACCACAGCCCCACTCAGAATGCAGCACAATTTAAAAACAAGGCCGTTTGCAACCATAAGTTAGCAACTACAGTCGTAGTTGTTAGCATTTTTCAATAATTTTTTTAAACCTTTTCTTAAGCAGATATTGACAATGAGAAATGAACCTAAGATTGAGACGCAGGAAGAACTAAAACCACTCCAAAAAACTTTATGTTACGAACAACACAATTTCATTTTAATATTAGCGAGAAACAACTGCAGAAAGGAAATCGGTGAACAATGTTTTGGCACACTGGTTTCCCTAAGAGTTTAACTCTGCCTCATGTAAAAGGGGGTTAAGCTGAATGTAGCATGTATTAAATGGGGATCAATAAAGTCTATGTAATGAGAGTCAGAAGCCCGAACACTTTCCGTGTTCTGAGAGGGAGGCTTGCTCTGTAGCCCAGGCTGGAGTGCAGTGGCGTGACCTTGGCTCACTGCAACCTCTGCCTCCCAGGTCCCGGTACAAGCAATTATCCTACCTCAGTCTCCTGGGTAGCTGGGATTACAGGCACGCGCCACTATGCCCAGCTAATTTTTGTATTTTTAGTAGAGACAGGGTTTCACCATGTTGGCCAGGATGGTCTTGAACTCCTGACTTCATGATCCGCCCGCCTCGGCCTCCCAAAGTACTGGGATTACAGGCATGAGCCACCGCGCAAATGTGTAATGACTTCTAAGAAACATGTACACAGGTTTTTGGAAACCTAACTGTTAATTACTATTTTTCATAGTTTGTGCCACAGAAAACAAAAGAAAATGAATAAATGTCATAATAATTCAAATGTCATCTAAGAAGCAGCATTATTCATAATTGCCAAAAAGTGGAAACAATGCAAACGTCTGTCCCCCGATGCCTGTGGGAGCAAACTGCGGTCTAGCCACACGCTGACGCACAATTCAGCCACAAAAAGAAAGGATGCTTTGGGGGTTTGTTGTTTTGTTTTTTGAGACAGGGTCTCACTCTGCCGCCCAGGCTGGAGTGCAGGGGCACAATCACAGCTCACTGCAACCTCTTCCTCCTGGGTTCAAGCAATTCTCATGCCTCAGACTCCTGAGTGGCGGGGACTACATGGGTGCGCCACCACGCCCAGCTAATTTTTGTATTTTTTGGTACAGGTGGGGTTTCACCATTTTGGCCAGGCTGGTCTCGAACTCCTGACCTCAAGTGATCTGCCCACCTCAGCCTCCCAAAGTGCTGGGATTACAGGCGTAAGCCACCGTACCCAGCCTGGGTCTTACTCTGTCATCCAGACTGGAGTGTAGTGGTATAATCTCAGCTCACTGCTGCCTTGACCTCCTAGGCTCAAGCAATCCTCCTGTCCCAGCCTCCCGAGTGACTGAGATTATAGGCACACACCCCATGCCTAGTTTATTTTTTATTTTATTTTATTTTATTTTTTTACAGACGGGGGTCTTGCTATGTTGTCGAGCTGGTCTTGAACTCCTGGCCTCAAGTAATCCTCCCACCCTGGATTCCCAACCAAGGTGTTGGGATTAGTATAGATGTGAGCCACCACATCCCACCCACCCCATGGTGAAACCTTGCAAAAACTGTGTTACAGGAAAGACGTCAGCCACAGAAGAACACACAGTGTATCATTCCGTTTACACGAAACATCCAAAATGGAAAATGTGCAGGGCTAAAAAGTAGAATGCAGTTGCCTTGGGCTAGGAGAAGAGGAAATGCAGAGTGACTGGTGGTGGGTGTGAAATTTCCTTTTGGTGTGATAAAAGTGTTCTAAAATTGATTGTGTGTGGAAATATGCCAAAAACCACTGAATTAATTGTATGCCCCAAATATCATTCACATATTAAGAGATTTACTTCTAAATAAAGTGGTTGAGATGTCATTTAATGAAAAAAGTTTAAAGTTAGTAAACTGCAAAATTTGTTTACTTACACTGTTTTTTTGGAGGTAATTCTCAATCATTTAAAAATCTATATAAGGGCAAACATGGTGGTTTACATGTATAATCCCAGTGCTTTGGGAGACCAAGGTGGAAGGATTGCTCGAGGCTAGGAGTTTGAGACTAGCCTGGACAACATAGCAAGACCCCATCTCTACAAAACATAAAATAAAATAAAATTTTAAAATCTATTCAAAATAGCTCAATAAGGAGATTCTCTCAGTTTTGCTTTGCTTTTTTAAAAACATGAAAAGTGTTTTAAATAATGTAAAATATAATCATCAAAACTAGAAATTTCAGCTTGGGCAACGCAGTGAAAACCTCATCTCCACAAAAATGAAATCAGCCGGGCGTGGCGGTGTGCGTCCGGGCCCCGCTCGAGAGGCTGAGGTGGGAAATCAGCCGGGCGTGGCGGTGTGCGTCCGGGGCCCGCTCGAGAGGCTGAGGTGGGAAATCAGCCGGGCGTGGCGGTGTGCGTCCGGGGCCCGCTCGAGAGGCTGAGGTGGGAAATCAGCCGGGCGTGGCGGTGTGCGCCGGGCCCGCTCGAGAGGCTGAGGTGGGAAATCAGCCGGGCGTGGCGGTGTGCGTCCGGGGCCCGCTCGAGAGGCTGAGGTGGGAATCAGCCGGGCGTGGCGGGTGGTGGGGGCGGGGGGCCGTCGGAGGCTGAGGTGGGAAATCAGCCGGGCGTGGCGGTGTGCGCCCGGGCCCCGCTCGAGAGGCTGAGGTGGGAAATCAGCCGGGCGTGGCGGTGTGCGTCCGGGGCCCGCTCGAGAGGCTGAGGTGGGAAATCAGCCGGGCGTGGCGGTGTGCGTCCGGGGCCCGCTCGAGAGGCTGAGGTGGGAAATCAGCCGGGCGTGGCGGTGTGCGCCCGGGCCCCGCTCGAGAGGCTGAGGTGGGAAATCAGCCGGGCGTGGCGGTGTGCGCCGGGCCCGCTCGAGAGGCTGAGGTGGGAATCAGCGGGCGTGGCGGTGTGCGGGCCGGGGGGGGGGGGGGGGGGGGGGGGGGCCGGGGCTGAGGGGGAATCGCGGGCGGGGGTGCGCCGGGGCCGCTCGAGAGGCTGAGGTGGGAGGACCCCTGGGAGGCCACAGTGAACGGTTACTACAACATTGCACTCCAGCCTGGGCGACAGAGTGAGACTCTCAAAAAAAAACCTAAAAGTTACAGTTCATGTCTCACGTTCACAAAGCTCTTCCCACTGGCTGACCGCTAAGTCTGAGAAACAGCCTGGGGTCATGGCATGTGAAACGCAGCGTACGTCCTAATTCCTTCTCCGGAATGCTGAAATCCAAAACATTATGAAACCTGGGTTTTCTCTTAAGCTTGATGTCAATATTCAATGAGCGGCAAAATCTGACCTAAACTGAGTCATGGCTATTTATAATCTTAACTCATCCCACTTACTGTGAATACTCACCTTTCTCTGGAGAGCTCTGTGAATGTGCCTGATTACAGGCTGCCGTCCTAGACCCCACCTGGGGAGTACATAATACACCTCTTATACATCGTACTGTCTTCCTAAAATCTGAACCGTTCTGAACTCTGAAACACACACAGCCCCAACCATTCCAGAGAAAGCACTGTGGGCCTGTCTAACATGCCCTGGTACAAGAAGAAACTCACTTGCCATTTGAAGAAATAAAGCACACAGCACAGGGAAAGATATCCTGTGATACAAGGTAAGAAGCCTGCCTGACGACAGGGCTGACTGAAGGAAGAAAGACAGGGTTTCGAAAAAATGGTTCTAGGTGCAAGGATTTGGAGAAGACCACCGCTGTGTGGCCAGAGTGACGCCATCCTGAAGGAAAACTGCCGTGACGACCGATGTTTGACTCGTGCATGCCAAGCTGTTCTGCAACGAGGTCTGAAGACAATGCCTGTGGCGCAGGCAACCTCTCATCAAGATGCTCACCCAGCCTGACCAGTGGTCGCAAGTCTCGTCAAGCAAGTCTGAAGACAGGGCTGGCTGCACGCGTTCTACCCTGAAAGCCTGCTTTATAAAGAACGCTTTCTGGAGGGCAGGCGGCTGTGGGGATCCACCATCTCTGTCTCTTGGGGGCTTGTGTTCGTACGTCCCTATTCAGTGTTTCCTTCCGAGACACTGGATTTGTTAGCCTCTTTCTTTGGCCTCTCTGCTCGCTCAGCCTTTGGGGGTGAGTTTGCATAGATCTGCTCACTTCGGAATAGCCACATGGAGGGTTTAGAATTTAACAGACTTAAAAGAATTACTAAAAAAAAACTCCCAGCATGTATATGATACTTCATTGCTTATAAGACACGTTCACAAACAGTACTGCATTCAACAGAGCACGATTGCAAGAGAAGAAACTCGAAATGAAATTCTGTGGGCTAAGATAGAATAATGTGGGAAAGAGAGGAGAGACAGGTGATCTGATCCGCTACGGGATTCACGGGGAGTGAAGACAGGATGGACCTGCAGGAGAGACGGCGCGGGGCCTTCAACCCCAGGCTGGGGGACACCGTGCTAGGAAGTGCTCACCACAGAGTCCCAGAGCGCAAATCCTCACAGAGCAACCAGCTGCCTGTAATGATGACGTTCACTTTAAAAAGGACTAACAGATCCCTGAAGTCAAAGCGGTTTGTAAAAACTTTTCACAGAAAAGCAGTCTAGTCGACATCATGATGGAGCATTTCTGCCAGGATGGAGCAACAGGGACCGTCTTTTCCCTGCCACTTGAAATAACAACAACAAACCCACCAAAATCTACAAAACAATGATTTCAAGACCCTAAGCGTCAGGCCACACGCAGATTCCCCACAGATGGAAACAAGCCAGGCGAGCCTGCCGCTGCCCCCAGGTGGAATTCTTGTGTAGGCCACAGAGCAGACAGGGCCCAGGGGAGCCCGGAGGTCCCCAGGCAAAGGCACAGAGCTCAGGGGAGACCAAGGCAACCGGATTTGCAAGATGGAGTACGAGAGATGAGAGAGATGCAGAGAGCGAGCTGCACAGACCCCGCATGCTCACTGGAGGGCTGACTGGCGTGCCAGACGGAACACGCTGCCAGGCAGATGAGGGTGCCATGAGGTTCGCAGCCATCAGAGCAGGTACTCAGAAGGGTCTTGCATCAGGAGTAATGAACGACAGGCCTGCAAATAAAGCTGCTCTGCTTCCTTTAAACACAAGATCCCAAAGGATAAACCATGCTCATGTGATTTAACTACATTCTAAAACAAAGGCCAAGGAGATTTACAAAAACACTCAAAATACAGAAATACCCACCACCCAACAAAGTAACATTCACAATGTCTGGCACACACTCGAAATTTACCAGGCTTGCAAAGAAGCAGGAAAACACAAGCCACAGAAAGGAAGGAAATCAACCAACCAGAGCAGACAGGACACTGGAGTTGGCAGACAAAGAGGTGACAAGTTACTGCAAGTGCGTCCCAGGTGTGCAGTGGGAGCAACACGGGAGCCACGGAAAACACCCAGCAGAACTAGCAGCAGAAACCACAGCGTCTCAGCGTCCCAGGTGTGCAGTGGGAGCAACACAGGAGCCACAGAAAACACCCAGCAGAACCAGCAGCAGAAACCACAGCGTCTCAGGTGAAACATACACTGGAGGAGGTTAAAGGCACATCACACAAGGAAGAGAAACTGACCAAAACCAAACACACTGGAAAAGAGCATCTAAAACATGAGGAGCCTCGCTGAGCTGGGGGACAAGGTCAAGCAGCCTGCAGCCTGGCGGGTGTATGACAACATTCTCCGAGGGGGACGTGCAGCGTTGGGAGCCGGGATGGGCCTGAGGCTTCATCTGACCTGCGAGCTGACAGGCTGGCCTGCCAGGACTCCGTGGAGGCCGGCAGAAGGTCCAAGGCCCCAGGTCAGGGACAAAGGGCTTTCCTACTCACAGCACAGCAGGCAACCTGAGGCTCATGAGCAGCTGTCCACAGCCCCCAGTCTCATGGGGAGACGGAGAGCAGCCACAGTGGGACATCCTCACAGTGGGTCTGTGTGTCTGAAGGACCTGAGCTTGGGAACCCCAATCTTTCACAATGGGGAGTCTGCAAACCTGACCAACCTTTATCCCCGAAACAGACCCGTCTGTCCCCGAAGAAGGCACCATGTCCACTGCCATGGCCAATGGTCCCCACAGACACCCTTGAAAAGAGTCTGGGGTAGTAGGGCTGCTGCCTCTGCTCACGGACAAGGAGAGCTGTGGGGAGCCACGAAGATGCCCCCGAACCAGGGCAGGATGGGACTGAGGACACAGAAACACTCGAAGAGGAAATGACTGAACACTCTCCCAATCTCCCTGAAACTCTAAAAGGAATGGCAACGAGCAAGGTAAACCCCACCGCTTAGTACTTCCTGAAGAACAGGTTTGCCCAGCTCACGGCACAGGGAGCTACAAGTGGTCTTTGGGTTTTACAGTATTGGTGAAAATAGACATGGAGTTCCTTTTCTGAAGTTAAAGTCATTTGAAGTGGGACCCTAAGGGAGAAAAACATGATTTTAACAAAGACGGAGTCTCCATTACTCACTTATCTCCAGCTGGCGCTGGATGCGGCCCTTGCTCCGCTCCCGAAACAGAGTCTGTGCCTCATTGTACTCCGCCATGGCTTCCACAAACTTCCGAGACAGCACCGAATGCTAACAACACAGGAAAACTACATTCGTATCTGAGGGCCATGCCTTCCACTGAAAGTGACATGCAAGACATGCATTTTGGAAACTCAAACTACATGTTCTTCTGTTCCTGCAAATGGAAAATGACAGTGGCAAAGTCCCCATGATAGCATCTGTGCTAAGAACTTTGCATGCATCATCTTACCTAATTTTCACAAGAGCCCTATTATGCCTCTTAAAGAAAACCACGACTTTGAGGTCATTAGCCCAAGGTCACAGGCTTTTCTGATAAACATGGATCACCGCTGGGACCCAGGCAGGTGGACCCCAGAGTCCACGTGCTTCATCGCCTCGTGCCCACGAGGCCTCAGGACTCTGTCTTCCTCTGGGCTGCACCACAAACCACTGAAACGTGGCGGCCTGACCACAAACACTCAAATCATTGGAATAATCCCTGCTCTTCGGAATAGAACTCTGTTGATAGATTGAATAGATTTTTCTTCACAATAAAGAGATGTTCTACAAATACTGGGAAAGGAAAATAAAATCGCAGGACCTCACACTCACTACCCCAAAGGGACAGTTAAGCTTGGGAACTAAGTCATACAAAACACTGCCCTCCCTCCTCTTCCCAAACAGATGGCTGCAGGGACAGAAGGCCGCACCCCTCCCCAGCGGCCTCCCGCACAAAGTGTTCACAAGGAAATTCCTCGTGGGTCCCCGACTCTTTCAGAATCCATATCCCCCCAAAAACTAACTCTAAAACCGAGTTCTGCTGAATCTCACCCTGACAATGTCGGTCAGCCGCTTATCTTCACCGGTACAGGACAAAGACAAGACTACAAGTCACCCTCGGCCCACCCTGAGAAATGCATGGATAGCTCCTCCCTCAACTCAGGCTCACATTGGCCCAGGTAGGAGGCACGGGAGGAGTGCAGAATCAACCCCCACTCCTCTCTTCCCACATGTGAAATGTGAACGCAGTGAGCACTGACCAAAGCCTCACAACAGCGTGGCCACCTCGCTGCCTACCCCCGCTTTTTCTCTCTTTTTTCCCCCTTTCCTCCTTCCTCTCCTGCCTGCCCTCTCCCCTTTAAATATCAAAGTCCTCAAAACCCTCTTCGGGAAAGGCACAAACCACAGATCCTACCCTAATTTGTATTTCTTTTTTCCAAGTGTGTCCTCAGCTTTGGCAAAATAAACCTCTGTCTCAGATACTTTTGTTTTATAATACTGTATTATTTTTGTGCAGAAATACTGTGAGGATAAGCATGACAGTAAAGATGAAATTATTCAGAGTCTGCAAGAAGAAAGTAAAAACACTTATTCTGCGGCATTACTTCCATCTAAATGAGGCTGATACCAAACCTGGGTTCTTCGTATCCGAAGATCCACTGAAGTCCGGTTCCCACTCTCATCCTGATCAAAACTTTGTTCAATAGCTAGGAACAAATAGGAAATAATTACTTTCCAAATTTAAAAATGAAAATGTTTCAAGTCTAACTTCAAATTCCTTTTATTTCTTATCTTTCAAGTACCTTTATAAAACTTAAGCTAATGAACAAGTGACCTTTTAAAGCAATCTACTAAAGAGACAATCCCTCAATAGGAAATTGTTTTTTGAGACAAGGTCTGGCTCTATCACCCGGGCTGCAGTGCAGGGGCACAATCTCGGCTCACTGCAACCTCAGCCTCCCAGGCTCAAGCAATCCTCCCACCTCAGCCTCCTGAGTAGCTAGGATTACAGGCATGTGCCACCACATCAAGCTAATTTTTGTATTTTTTGTACAGACGGGATTTTGCCATGTTGCCCAGGCTGGTCTCGAACTCATGAGCTCAAGTGATCCACCTGCCTTGGCATCCCAAAGTGTTGGCATTACAGGTGTGAGCTACTGCGCCCAACCCCATCAAGAGGAAATTATTACTGCTCTTGAGAAGCATGTATATGTAGATACACACAGATATATATACACATATATGCACACATATATACACAGATACACAGATATATATACATATATGCACACATATAGACACAGATACACATATATATACACATATATGCACACATATATACACAGATACACATATATATACACATATATGCACACATATATACACAGATACAGGTATATATACACATATATGCACACATATATACACATATATACACAGATATATATACCCATATATGCACAGATACACACAGATACACATATATGCACACATATATACACAGATACACACAGATATATATGCACACATATATACAGATATACACAGATATATATACACATGTATGCACACATATATACACAGATACAGATATATACATATATGCACACGTATATACAGATACACACAGATATATATATATGCACACATATATACAGATACACACAGATATACACATGTATGCACACATATATACACAGATACAGAAATATATACATATATGCACACATATATACACAGATTATATACACATATATGCACACATATATACAGATACACACAGATGTATATATACATATATGCACACATATATATACAGATACACACATATATACACACATATGCACACATATATACACAGATACAGATATATATACACACACATATATACAAATACATATTTACTCATCCAAAAAAATGGAAACATAATCAACAAATTTTAAAACTGGGTACCGCTAAAGGGAAAGGAGAAACAAGGGGGGACAAAGAAAGAAGTTAGACTCTGAATATGTTTTATAAATTTGACTTCAGAATAATATAAATACTTCACAAAACTATAATGCAAAATTAAATTTTAAAAGCATTAATCCCTAAACTTCAAAGGAAAAAATAAAACAAAACTAACAGTAAGTCAAGTTAATGATATAAACATACAGAGGAGCCGGGTGCGGTGGCTCACACCTGTAATCCTAGCACTTTGGGAGGCTAAGGCAGGCGGATCACTTGAGGTCAAGAGTTTGAGACCAGCATGGCCAACATGGTGAAACCCTGTCTGCACTACAAATACAAAAACTAGCCAGGCGTGGTGGAAGGTGCCTGTAATCAGAGCTACTAGGGAGGCTGAGGCAGGAGAATTGCTTGAACTTAGGAGGCAGAGGTTGCAGTGAGCCGAGATCGCGCCATTGCACTCCAGCCTAGGGGACAAGAGCGAATCTCCATCTCAAAAAAATAAATAAACACACAGAGGAAAAACCATTCAAAGTAACTTTAAAACCCAGTAATTTGTAGCTGGACACAGTGGCGTGTGCCTGTAGTCACAACTGCTGGGGGGATCACTTGAGCCTAGGAGTTCGAGGCTATAGTGCACCATGATCACACTGGTGAACAGTCACTGCACTACAGCCTGGCCAGCACAGCAAGACCTCAGGTCAAACAACAACAAAAAGTAATCTGATTATATCGCCCAGTGGGATACACCTATAGACAAAAAGAATGAAAAAAAAAATAAAAAATAAACTTAAGTAATCATACTCTTGACAGTAGATGCTGGCATAATTATTTTGGGTCTGTTGTTGTGTGTACTATGAATAGCAAGTGAATAATTATGTAAGTGTCAGTGAGAACCAGAATTTGGGGCATAGTTGAAAGGAGATAAAGATGTAATATCGCCTGTATTAAGTAAAAATCCTTTCAAAAAAATTTTTTTAGTCCTTCCTTTATTCTTAATTTGGAGTCTCAGTAACAAATCATGATTCATTTTATCTTTTTAAAAAATCTTAGCCCAATCCACTGCAAAAGCCCAGGAAACAATGGTCAGGTCATCGTCATGTATGGCAATACATTCCCCAGTATGCCGACCTCGGTGTCTAGATAACATTCTTCAGACACAGCAGCGGGGCTCCCTGGGGAAATGGCTGATCCCAGGCCCAGGAAAGGGGTGAAATGAGCATGGGTCCTTTTGTCACAGCAAAAAGTGGAAAGGCTGTCACAGACAATGAGGGGCCTACCAAAAGGACTCAAGAGTCCACCTTACTAGCCAAAGGGACCATCTGAGCATTGAGGAGAACGCAACAATCAAAACATCAGATGTGTTTAAATCCATTGTTCACAACGATGGACGAGAAGCAGCAACAGAGACTCTCCCCGGTCATCTCTGGAGGACTCCAGGGAACCAACCTATGAAAATTACACCAGAGAGAGACAGAGTCCAACGCTGATCCTCTCTGTCCTCCATGATCTGTGACCCAGAATGCGCTTTGGCTCCCTTGGTCGGAGAAGCCAGGTCATTTGTCCCACAGAACCTGCCCCGCTGCACACTTTGCTGATTTCACCCTGCTGTTGCAGAGCAACACATTCAGCAGGCTCTGCTGTCCTCTGTATTTACTGTGGGCTGATAGAGTCTCCAAACTTTATCCAATTCAGGAGTTGAAGGAGAAAGGTTTCTTTTTAAATAACTATTCCAGCAACTAAACAAAGAAGGAATAATAAAATCAGGATATTCATGCTTGTAATCCCAGCACTTTGGGAGGCTGAGATGGGCGGATCATTTGAGGTCAGGAGTTTGAGACCAGCCTGGCCAGCATGGCGAAACCCTGTCTCTACTAAAAATACAAAAATTAGCCAGGTGTGGTGGAGGGCGCCTGTAGTCCCAGCTACTCAGGAGGCTGAAGCAGAAGAGTCACTTGAGCCCAGGAGGTGGAGGTTGCAGTGAGCCGAGATCATGCCATTGCACTCCAACCTGGGTGACAGAGACTCCATCTCAAAAAAAAAAAAAAAAAATCAAGATATTACTGCTTGCAACTGCTAATGAATTATGGATCTTGGAAACAATCATCCATTTTTGACAATATCACAGAATAGAAAAGAATGTTATATCTTATTTAAAATGTTACTGAACTTACTTAGAGCCAAGAAAAAATGTTAATATCACCACTAACATCTTAACATAACCATGAGGACATAAAATCTGTAATCAGATGCTGCATCTTTACATTTTAAAAACCCACAAAAAACACGTGAATCAGATAAAGCTTAGAGAATTTAACTACCAACCTCCAGCAAAGTCAGAGGACGGCAAAGCCTATTAAACACGCTGCAGGGGGAAAATCAGCAAAATCTGCAGCGTGGCAGATTCTGTAGGACAAATGACCTGGTTTCACCAACCAAAGGAAAAAGTGCCAGAGAGAAAAATGACGAAGGGAGACTCTCATTTTTAAAAGCCAGAGTTTGGTCCTTACTTGGGACTCAATTCAAGCGAACTGTTTTTAAAAAAAAAAAAAAAAAAATCATAAGACCACTGGGGAAACAGAATCTCTGCCTGGATATTTTGTACTATCAAGTAATGACAATGAAGCTGGGTTTAGATATGATGGTGGTTGTGCTCTGGGGGAAGCTTCTGTTTTACACACTGATGAAATCTCAGATGCCTGGGGTGGGCTTCAGAATGCTCTGGGAGCGGGTTGGGGTGGGAGCTCATGGAGAGGTATGGAGCTGGGGGGTTGGCTTGTGGCCGCCTCCTCTGCTTCTGCACACATCTGAAACCTGCCGTAATACAAGTGTTTCGCCATCTGCGCAGAGATTGTTTTTGATCTTGATGCCATTCTGCAAAAATCAAATACTATGTGTTCTTCTACCAAATCAAGAAAAGCAACCTCTGTTTAAGTCCCAGGTGAAAGCTCTAAGCCTTCCAAAAAACTGCTGCTGCTAAAGCGGAATGCCAAACATCATCCAATAAATTCCACTGAGTTTGAAAGAAACGAGCAATTAAAGGGTCCATTCAAGAAGAGCTTGGCAATTCACCCTCCCAAACATCTGCAACTTAGCCTGAAATGTCATAAAAAATGTAACAGTAACAGTTTATAAGCAAACACACAACCTTTTTCAACATGAATTAGTACTCTGAATTACATACAAATAATTTATTTTAAAGCAGTCACAATTTTAATTTTTAAAAATGTAAAATAACAAAAACCAATAAAGAATAAAATAACAAAAACCCACACTCCCAATTAAACATAAAACTTCAAACTTACCCTTTAACTTGGCTCGAATTTTATTTGCAGTTTTCTTGATTTCTTTGTTCAGATCTTCAAGCTCTTCTTTTATTTCTATAAAAATTTAAAATAAAAAAATAAAATACAGCATCTGAGCTATAACATCCAACATAAATGATATCCAATGAATTTAAGTGAAACAGTATCCTTAGTAAATATTCACTTTTTTTCTGTAAGAAAAACTACCACTTATACCAGTGGTTCTCAAGGTGGTTTCCTAGACAGCAGCTTTCATAAATATCAGGTGGGACCTTAGTAGAAACACAAATCCCCGGGCCCCACCCTGGACCTACTCAGAAACTGAGGTGGCGGCAGTGGCCCAGCAAGCTGAGTTAGCAAACCCTCCAGGTGACACAAGTTTGAGACTTGCTGGTCTACACCAATGAATGAAACGGCTGCCTAAATCCACTGCTAACACCTAGACCTGGGAAAGGAAAACGGAGACATAACAATGATCTCAACAAAGTCTCCTGTGTGTGTGCTCTTCTCTGGTGCTATCAGCTGTCTCCCCAAGACGCCCAAAGAATCACAGCCACCACTTCAGTGCTGCTGGGCCGGCTGCCCTGGGCTGGCTTCTCACACACTCAGGGCTGCAAGCAGAGGGCGACGGAGGCAGGGGCCGGCCTCCTGACCTCCGTCAGGAGGGAGGCTGGCAGAGCAGGGGCCAACACTCCAGGGCGGTGCTGAGACCTAAGGCCACCCCAGGGCGTCACGGCAGCCTCTGCTTTCACGCCTGGCTGCCCCAGAGCCCAGGAGGGTGGCAGGATGTCTGCTCCATGCCACACACTCACGTCTGCCAGTCCGGTGGCTGAAGTGACCTGAAGGGGGTTTCCCTCTCCTCTGGCCAGAAGTTGCTGAGACAGGAAGGCCCCCACCCCGTCTCTGGAGCCCTGCTGTCGTTTCACAGAGTCCTGCACTTGCCTCTCTCACTCAATCTCACACGCATCAGCCGGGGAAATGGCAAACGTTTCCACCATAGACAACTTGGCCAAGAATGAAAGCTTTCAGAGATGCCCATTCTCCTCCTGGCACCCCCTCAGTTGAGCACACACAGGGTGCCCTGAGTACCCACTGCACACCAGCGCGTGCTAAGTCTTCTTTCCACGCTCAGCTGTGGTCATCAGATGCAGCCTGGATCCTCCAGGGTTTCAGAACCAGATCAGAGACTGAGTGATGTCCAGAGGTGAGAGGTCACGCACCAGTAATACCTACTGAGTGCTCTACGTGTGTGAAGGCTCATGTCATGCAAGGAGGCTAAGAAGATCACCAGGGATCTAATAACTTGGTAAAAAAAAAAAAAAAAGATAAGGCAAACCCAGGAAGCGCCAATGCCAGGCAGAAACTAACAACGGACAAGACAGGTTTCACAAAACGCCATGGGCAGCCAGGAGAAGAGGCATCTACTGCAGCTGTCCCGCAGGAGGGGACATCTGACCTGGGAGTGGAGAGACTGGCGGCTTCTATCCCAGGCAGGAGAAGGGACTGCAGCACAGAGCAGCAGGACAGTGGGCTGAAGTGACTGGCGTGGGAGGAGGCCGACTGCAGGCTGCCCAGGCAGGAGGGTGCAGGCCCGCCTGACTTTGGGGCTTTTACTGAGGGCACCAGTCAGCACTGAAGGTTTCTGAGCAAAAAAAGACATCAGCAAAGATGCATTAGAGATTTTTTTTTTTTTTTGAGACGGAGTCTTGCTCTTGTCACCCAGGCTGGAGTGCAGTGGCACAATCTCGGCTCATTGCAACTTCTACCTCCTGGGTTCAAGCAATTCTCCTGCCTCAGCCTCCCAAGTAGCTGGGATTACAGGCCCCCACCACCACACCCGGCTAATTTTTGTATTTTTAGTAGAGTTGGGGTTTCACCACATTGACCAGGCTGGTCTCAAACTCCTGACTTCGTGATCCACCCGCCTCGGCCTCCCAAAGTGCTGGGATTACAGGCGTGAGCCACTGCATCCAGCCTAGAAAGATAATTTTTTTTTTTTTTTTTTTTTTTTTTTGAGACTGAGTCTGGCTCTGTCGCCCAGGCTGGAGTGCAGTGGCTGGATCTCAGCTCACTGCAAGCTCCGCCTCCCGGGTTTGCGCCATTCTCCTGCCTCAGCCTCCCGAGTAGCTGGGACTACAGGCGCCCACCACCTTGCCCGGCTAGTTTTTTGTATTTTTTAGTAGAGACGGGGTTTCTCCGTGTTAGCCAGGATGGTCTCGATCTCCTGACCTCGTGATCCGCCCGTCTCGGCCTCCCAAAGTGCTGGGATTACAGGCTTGAGCCACCGCGCCCGGCCGAAAGATAATTTTTAAGCAGGGCACAGTGGTGTGCACCTGTAGTCCCAGCTACTTCAGAGGCTGAAGCGGGAGGATCACTTAAGCCTAGGAGTTTAAGGCCAACCTGGGCAACTAGCAAGATGCCATCTCTATTTAAAAAAAGGAAAGAAAAAAGAGAAAAACGGAGAAAAATTATTCTGATAATGGATGAAACTAGAAAAACAGAGAAACTAGACACAAAGGGGCCATTTCGTGGTTCTCCTCTGTGAACATGTTTCTAAAGGGATATTCTCAGGGGAATCTTTCTACCACCCCAAGAGGTATTCTGAAATCTGTGGGGTATTTCCAGTCATCATAAAAAAGGCAGAGCCACTGGCAGCCAGAAGACAGGAGCCAGGAATGGCACCAGCCAGCACCACACAGCGCTCCTGAGCGTGACGACACCAGCCAGCGCCGCACAGCGCTCCTGAGCGTGACGACGGCACCAGCCAGCACCACACAACGTTCCTGAGCGTGACGACGGGGTGTCCATGCACGTGTGAGATGTACCACCCTCGAACCTCGTTATGTCAGCACATCACCCGCTGACCTGCATAACTTCCAAATGGACACTGCTCACTCGGGCAGGAGAAAAGACCTGTTTTCCTGAGCCCAGAACCTAACTCCAGCTTACAAATAAGTCCTATTTTCATCTGCATCGTTTCAATATCCAGTGGATTTTCAGGAATGCAACTGCCGTGACACCGCTCTGCATGGCGAGAAAGCTGTACTTCATTCTATTTCAGCGACACAACTGCCTTAGGAAAAGCACAGGGAAGCCTGCTGACAGCATCTGAATCACAACGCCTCATCAGCTTGCAGTCTTGGCTGTCAGTCACAGGACTTGTTTGTAGGGGGCAAGTGCCTGAATTTCGTTTTCTGGTGTTGTGCCTGAGCCTGCACAATACAATTTGTACTTCAGTATGTAAGTTACTTCCATTTTATGTCTTCTTCATATTAGTTTGGATATTACATGTTTTTAAAAAATTATGGAAGTAGGTAGGCTATATCATCTATGAACTTCATTTTAGGACAGTAAAGGGAACACAAAATGCCTTATAAAATAGGGCATTTAACGGGAATTACAGAGACTTGCTATGAATAAAGAGGGGGGCAGGTCCACAGTTTGTGGCGGGAGTGCTGGCTCCCGTGGCGCATGAGGCTGATGCAGACCCCCCCAACGCCTGGCCACTGTGCCTGGGGAATGAGGGCTGAGTGTAGGCGTCGAAGTGAAAATGTACACACAGCAAGGGTATTTGTGCAGCGGTCCGGCCCAGCCAGCGCCTGAGCTCAGCTGAGGACAATCAGACTCGGGAGACAGTCGTGAGCCACTGCGCGGCCACAGAAACCACGAGATCTGAGCGCCGGGCCTGCCGGTGGATGAGAGTCTCCCTCTTGAGCTGGTGGGCCACAGCAGGACTCACTTCCCTGGGAAAGCAAGCCCTGAGCTCTTACACAGCAGGGGTGGGAGGCACTCAGGAAGGAAAGAGTGACCTTGCTGCCACCACAGGCACACAGGGGCTTAGGCAGCTCATCAGCAAAATGAAAGAGGCACTGCCTGTCTCATCCTGCGAGACACCGGCCATAAGGTCACATGTGACAAACGTGGCATTTCCAACCACTGATATCAGGCACCTCCTCTTCCAGCGGCCTAGGTGATTCAGCTCAATCCTCCTGCTGAGAACAATTAGAAAGGGTAGACACTACTCTTTTCAAATCTGTGGAAAGCCATTAGAAACCTAACAAGGTGCAAAAATAAACAAAACAAAACAAAACAATAAAAAAAGAAAGAAACCTAACAAGGCAGGAAAGCAGACTCAGACGAGAAAACCCAAGGAGGTGGGTCCCACTTTTGCAGCCACTTTTACCGGGGGCAGGTGCCAACTCCATAAAAGGCAATTGGGCTGCAGAGAAGCGGAGAAAAGTGCTGACTCGGAGGACAGGCAGGTGGGAAGCTGGCCCTCGCAGGGGCCGAAGCGTCAGTCTAAATCATCTCAGTCCCTAAAATCAGGTCCAGAACTGCTGGCGCTTCTCACCATCTGCCAGAAATAAAAATACATCACCTCTTTATAAAGAAAATATCATTCAGGACTCGAATTATTACTACACATCATTCCAATACCAAGCTCAAAACTCAAATCAAAAATAACCAAAAAAACACACACAAAAAACCAACAAAACGGACAACATTAACCCATCCACATAGGCACCAGTTAATGAAGTTACAAGACACAGACGTTAAAACAATTACATTCAAAGAGATAAAATGTAATATCATAAATTTTCTCAGAGAATAGGACAGTATTAAAAGGAACCAAATGGAATTATAGGAGTTAAAACCAATCCAAAAATAATTCCATGGATGAAGAAAGATTCCCTGACCTGCAAGACAATCGCTGAAGAGAAATTAAAAGATAAGTCGGGAAAACATTTTCAAAATGAAATATATAGAGAAAATGACGAACAATAGAGAACAAAAGAGGACAGACAGAAAGGATATAGTGAAAAGCTCTAAAAGACAATTCCAGTCGCAAAGAGAGATGACAGAAAAAGGAGCAAGAAGTAATGGCCAAAGTTTGAAGAAGTAATGGCCAAAGTTTTTCAAAACACAGCCAGAAAATGTCAATCCAAAGATTCAAGAAGCCTTATAAGAGGGAAAAAGAAAACGAAAAACACATTTTAAAACATCAAAGTAAAACTGCTAAAACCAAAGACCAAAAACCAAATACCTTAAAAGCTCTAATTAGCTGAAAAAAAAAAAAGTAAAGCCAAAGACACTGGAAAAATATGTTTTAAATCTTCAGAGTGGTGAAAGAAAGTAACTTCTAAACTAGAACCTTCTACTCAGTGAAAATATCCTTCGAGAATAATACTAAACTGAGGATAACTTCAGATCATAGCGAATCTTCACTGAAGGAGGTAAGAAGGAAGCGGAGAGGAACCGCAAGGGCAGGAAGGCCTCGGGTGGGGTGCTCCCAGCCTGTGGTGGGGGCAGCTGGGCTGAAGCAGGGCAGGGGTCCTGGAGCCAAGGCTCCCTAGTAAGGCCCTGCAGTGGGAGGGGGTGCCGGAGCCTGGCCACGCAGCTCCTTACGGGGGTTCAGGGCTTCGTTTCTGAAGGCAGAAAGCCCATGAGTGGCCCCCATGCCCTGCAGGGTAGGAGACAGGAGAGAGGCAACATAGCGAGATGTTGTTTCCACACAAAAAAAAAAAAAAAAAAAGGTGTGTGTGTGTGTGTGTATACATATTATTTATATGTGTGTGTGTATATATGTTATACATATATGATATATATAAACCTGTAATCCCAGCTACTCAGGAGGCTGAAGTGGGAGGACTGTCTGAGCCCAGGAGGCTGAGCCCACAGTGGGCTGAGATCACGCAGCTGCACTCCCGCCTGGTCGACAGAGGGAGACTCCGCTGGGGCGGCGGGGGGAAGAATCACAACAGCACTGAAAGGCAGATGCCACCACTAGCCCATTTCACACGTGTGGGAACAGCCCCGGAGATGTTAAGTGATGCGTCCAAGGCCACACAGGGATAACGCTGGAACAGGATCGGTGCGGCTTCCTCCAGGGCCCTCAGGGGCTTCGCACAAGGACCCGGGTCTCCATGAGTCTGATTTCCCGCAGAAAAGCACAGAACGCACAGGAGCAGGCGGCGCTGGAGACGGAGACGGCGCAGAAGCGGTCCCAGCGCAGTCCGAGGGGAGCCCCAGGGAACTGCTGAGGGAACGGGAAGCGGAGAAAACGCGAGCGCGCGCAGCCGCAGGACGACGGCCCCCGAACACAGGGCGCCAGCCAGGCTGACGGCTGACTGCAGGAGCGAATCAAACCCCCGCCGTCCTGCAGGACAATCCCAGCCTTGCCGTCACTAAAACCCAAACGAGAACCACACACACTTCATGCTCCTGCAGGGCTGGATCCGTGTCTTGGAGGGCCTGAAATATCTACGTTTTGCAAAGACGCTCTTTCAATACAAAAGAAAAAAGAAATAATACAAAAGTAGAAAGTGAAAAAAGAAAAATGCAGGTAAAAGGCCCTTCGTCCACCTCTCTGCCCTGGGATCCGTGGCTGCAGGTGGCGCGACGCGCGCGGTGCTAGGACCGGGGACCCGCCCGGGACCGGCTGCCTCTGGCGCCACCTGGCGGCCGCCGTGCCCAGCCCTGCCCCAGGTCCTGAGGTTGACGGGAGGGCAGCAGGCTGGGAATCGCCTGCTCACCAGGACCTAAGCAGGGCGCCTGCCCGAGGATGGGGAGACACGGGGGAGGCGGAGCACCGTAGTCCCCATTCCTCCCTCCCACCCTCCCCTCTTTCTTTAGGAACAGGGCGGGAAGGCCAAGAGCCTGTCCCTCTCTGTATTATCCCAGGCCCGTCATTGGGAGAGGGGAATCACTGCATTTTGCTTTTTAAAGACCAACCAAGGAAGCGGCTGGAGGCTGCTGCCCACATTTTGGTTCACACTCTGTCACAAAACAAAAGACAAAAAAGCAACGGTTTTCTTTAGAGCCCGAAAGGGACTATCATCAAACAGTAACAGTTCTAAATTTACTCAAAAAATATTCTATCTGCTATGACTTGGCAGCAAAAATGTTTTGGAGGTAAATTATTCCAAAAAAAATGCTGATACTTATTCAAATAGAATTTCCCTAAGCATTAAGCATGATGTTAACAGATGGGACATAAAAGGTCCTACGGGCAAATAAATGTGTGAAACACTAAACAAAGCTAAACAGGCTTCCTTCTAGGAAGACTTCTCAGAGCCTTGATTATTCTAAGGTTACTGCAACTTCCCAAGAGGGGCTGGGCGACGGCACGAAGAGGTCCCGGGAAGGATCTGGCCGTAGCACCCTGGCTGCACCGATTAGCTCATGAGAGGGCGGCTCCAGAAACATGTTGGGAAACACACTTCTGAGCCACTGAGAAGGCACAAACAGAGGCTCAGAACCTTATTTTACAAGACACACACAATTTTAAAATGCGTTCTTTTTCAATTTAATACTACTTTATTTTTTCAACGTACGGCTACACTAAGTAATAGTCCAACAAAAAATGTATTTGCTGGCAACTTTCCTCCAAGACCAAAAATACGTGTGCCCCCATCACCACTTCCATTCAATACTGTACTGGAGGTCAGCTAAATAAGTCAGTTAAAACTAACAAGCATAAGAGCTGCAAGGAAAAAAGTTACTATTATTCACAATGATATGATTGGGGACAAAGACAATCCAACATTAGCTACAGAGGATATTAGAATTAATAACTGATTAGGCAAGGGGTACGAGGCCAATATGCAAAAATCATTGTATTTCTATATGCCAACAACAAACAGAGAAAATGACATTTAAAGTAGATATGGCTGGGCGCGGTGGCTCATGCCTATAATCCCAGCACTTTGGGAGGCCGAGGCGGGTGGATCACAAGGTCAAGAGTTCGAGACCAGCTTAGCCAATATGATGAAATCCTGTCTGTACTAAAAATACAAAAATTAGCCGGGCATGGTGGTGGACGCCTGTAGTCCCAGCTACTCGGGAGGCTGAGGCAGGAGAATTACGTGAACCCAGGAGGCAGAGGTTGCAGTGAGCCGAGATTGTGCCACTGCACTCCAGCCTGGGCGACAGAGCAAGACTCCGTCTCAAAAAATAAATAAATAAATAAATAAAATAAAATCATGTCTTTTCTCCCAATGAGGAGATGCAAATACCGTGGGGAAGCAAATTGGGACAAAAATCCAGGTTCTTCAGCTGCTTCCACTGAGCTCCTTTCACTCTTCTGTGTGCCTCAGATTCAAAAGGAAGCAAATGTGAAGCAGATAAAGAGAAAAAAAGCATTTCTTTTGTGCCATTCTCCACAGGCACTGAACGCAGCACAGTCCATACAAAAGCTCCTCCTTAAGACTTTCAGAGTCACCTCAGTGTGTCTTCCTATTTCACTCTGCTCTTACAAGTACTGTTTCCAAATCAATCCCGGATTCACTGCCCTCTGAACATAAAGTGCTGTCTTGCTGACCTGTGGTCTAATCTTGGCTCCTAAGTTCTGCGAAGCCACTTTCGTGTATTCTTTAGGATCTGATCCATCCGTGGTCCTCACTCGGGCTGCCCATGACAATCACATGGGCAGCTTCAAAACAAACCATACAGACGCCCTGGCTCGCCCCAGGCCAAACGCCTCAGACTCTCTAGCTTATCAGCATTTCGTACAAACGCCCCTGCATCTAACGTGAAGCCAGAGTCGAGGCCTGTGCTGCAGACAGCAAGAGAGACACACAGACAGACAAACTTTTTGTTGTTAAAACCAACAACTTACTTCCTTCTGGGTTTGGTGCAGAAAGAATGATGCTGTGGTTTTTCTTTACTTCTTCAACATATTGAGTTATTTTATCAATACTGTTTCTAATCTCCTCAACCTAGGAGAGAGAGAGAGTCATTATAGCATGGCAAACTCAAATCTGTGACCACTTTCATGCCCTAAAAGGGGAAGAATAAAGGAGGGAAATAAATAATTACCACATAAGAAATAAAAAGCCTCTCCCATTCTCACACTGATATAATTTTTTTTTTTGAGACAGAGTCTCGCTCTGTCGCCCAGGCTGGAGTGCAGTGGCGCGATCTCGGCTCACTGCAAGCTCCGCCTCCCGGGTTCAAGCCATTCTCCTGCCTCAGCCTCCCCAGTAGCTGGGACTACAGGCGCCCACCACCACGCCCGGGTAATTTTTTTTTGTATTTTTAGTAGAGACGGGGTTTCACCGTGTTAGCCAGGATGGTCTCGATCTCCTGACCTCGTGATCTGCCCACCTCGGCCTCCCAAAGTGCTAGGATTACAGACGTGAGCCACCGCACCCGGCAGTCTCATTAAATTTAAAAAATAAAGATATACCCTATGAATATTTCTGCCTTCATACCTAAAGCAGTACCAATCACCATTCACCAGGAAAACCTATCAGGCTGTAAAAATTTCTAGTCAAGTCCCAAGCATGACACAGACGGGGCCAATTAGAAGCGTACTACTACTAATACCCATTTTCAGTATAACCAGGAAGTAAGCCCATAAAACATGCGGCACAGTGGCTCACACCTGTAATCCCCGCACTGTGGGAGGCCAAGGTGGGCGGATCACTTCAGGCCAGGAGTTCGGGACCAGCCTGGCCAACATAGAGAAACCTCTTCTCTACTAAAAATACAACAATTAGCCGACTGAGGTGGCACACACCTGTGATCCCAGCTACTCATGAAGCTGAGGCTCAAAAATCGCTTGAATCAGGAGGCGGAGGTTGCAGTGAACAGAGATTGCACCACTGCACTCCAGCCTGAGCAACAGAGCAAAACTCTGTCTAAAAAAAAAAAAAAAAAAGAAAATAATAATAATAATACTCTTATGGGAGGAGGTATCTACAGCTCACACAGCCAAACCTTCATAATTGTTATCTTTGACCTCTAAATGTTTAAATTCAATATGTGTTTCAAAATGTAATGTATCATTAGCAAGATTTATCTAGATGGAGTCATAACATTATCTTCAAAAACCTCTATGTCACGCTGAAAAATGACCCTAAAGATGTTCAGGTCCTAATCCCTGGGCCTGTAAGTTACCTTATAGGACAAAAGATATTTTGCAGATGTGACTAAACTAAGGATCTTGAGATGGGAAATTACCCTGAATTCTCCAGGTGGGTCCTCATTAACCCATTTATGCCAGAGGCTACAATTCGTGTGTGTGAAAAATCAGACCTTGGCGATGACCCTGAGCACTAGGATATAAATAACTCGCACAAGCTTAGCATTCCAATAATGGAACACTAGGCATAAATGGGTTAAAGTCGTAAGTGTTCTTAGAAGACAGCAGTAGAGGGACATCCAGCTACAGAAGTAGCAAGGTGAGCCCTGAAGCAAGATGCTCTGCTGCCAGCTCCTACCTCCTTCCTCATTTTAAAATAGTAATTATAGGCCAGGCACAGTGGCTCATGCCTGTAATCCCAACACTTTGGGAGCCAAGGCAGAAGGATCACTTGTGGCCAAGAGTTTAAGAGCAGCCTGGGCAACACAGAGAGACCCCATCTCTACAAAAACTAAAAGAAAAGAAAATTAGCCTGCAGTCCCAGCCACTCAGGAGGCTGAGGCAGGAAGACCACTTGGGCCCAGCAAGTTGAGGCTGTAGTGAGCTGTGATTATACTACTACACTCCAGCCTGGGCAACAGAGCAAGATCTTGCTCTTAAAAAAAAAAAAAAAGAAAGAATTATTAACCATTACATGTCGTGGCACAATCCACGTCCTAATCCCGGAGTCTGTGAATATGTCGCCTTGCACGGCAAAGGGAACTTTGCAGATGTGATCCAGTTGAGTCTTGAGACTGCCCTGGATTATCTGGGTGGGCCCAATGGAACCACAGGAGTCCTTACAAGACAAGACAAGAGGACCAATGTTGGAAAAGGGACACTTGATCATGAAAACAGCGGCTGGAGTGATGGCTTTGAAGGTGGAGGAAAACCAAGAACACAGGCCGCCTGCGGAAGCTGGAGAGGAAGGCAGCTCCAGGAGGCTCGCAGCTCTGCCCTGCCAGCACCTGAGCTTCTCCAGGCCCTGGAACTAGGAGGGGGTGATAAACGTGTTGTTGAACCACAGTGATTTGTTACAGCAGCAGCAGGAAACTGACACACATGTCAACATAAATAACACATTTCTGTGAAAAAATAGATCTCCAAAAAATCAGTGGAAACAGGGGCAGTGATTTGCACTTTTTGTAAATCTAATGTCTAGCTTAATAGAAAGCACCCTGATCATCACAGATACTCTTGGGTTTGGTGTGTTGGCTCTGAGAAACTCCGTCACTGTGCAGTCATAAGAGAGTAAAAATGGCAATGATCATCTTAGTATTACTTTGAAAAGAGCTTTGACCACAGAATCCTCTTGAAAGGATCTTAGGGACCCCAAGGACTCCTAGGCCAAGCCCCAGACCAGATTTGAAAAGTCTAAGTATTAAAGAATCACGCAGGCCAGGGGCAGTGGCTCACGCCTGTAATCCCAGCATTGTGGGAGGCCAAGGTAGGCGTATCACTTGAGATCAAAAGTTCAAGACCAGCCTGGCCAGCATGGCAAAATGCCGTCTCTACTAAAAATACAAAATTAGCCAGGCGTGGTGGCGTGCCTGTAGTACCAGCTACTCAGGAGGCTGAGACAAGAGAATTGCTTGAACCCAGGAGGAAGAGGCTGCAGTGAGCCGAGATCACACCACTGCACTCTACCCTGGGTGACAGAGTGAGGCTCCGTCTCAAGAAAAGAAAGCAAAATTACCATTTCTAAAGTAATACACATATGTTAGAAAGTAAAAGAAAAAAAACATTATTTTAACTCTTGGAGAGTTCTGCAATATATACCGCTGCTAACTCCAAGCCCCCGTGTGGCTCCAGAGGAACAGGAAACTGCAGGGCTACACACCCGCACCCAGAGAGGCACCGAGAGAGAATGGTGCCAGCTAGCATTTTATGTCCGGAAATAACACAGCACGGGGGGCCTTTGGCTCCGTTATAAATCGTCTTCGCAGAAACGAGGCTCCCTGGCCACCCTTCAGAGCACTGTTTTAGTGTTAACCAAACACTCGCCGTGTGAAATCCATTTCTCTTGCAAACTTCTATGTGATATTGAAGATCAGAATGAGTTTATATTAACAAACATTACTTGCTTCTGTATTTGTCTAGGAAGTCATTTCACAGAAATTAAGTGCAAACTAAATTGACTATTTAACAAATGAAAGATTGAGCTTAAGTTAGAACCCAGTGAGGACAAGCACTGGGCAAGCCTTCCTAACGCACGAGTAACCTGTTTCCCACATGCCCCAAGACGCCAGCAGCAAAGACCACAGCTTAATGGCAGTCAGTGAATTGCACAACTTAACTTTTCCGTTCTTCTTCTTTTTTTTCTTTTTTTTTTTTTTTTTTTTTTTTTTTTTTGAGACAGAGTCTCACTCTGTCACCCAAGCTGGAGTACAGTGGTGTGTTCTGAGCTCACTGCAACCTCCGCCTCCCGGGTTCCAGTGATTCTCCCGCCACAGCCTCCCAAGCAGCTGGGATTATAGGCACTGCCATCATGCCTGGCTAATTTTTGTATTTTTAGTAGAGACAGGTTTTGCCATGTTGACCAGGCTGGTCTGGAACTCCTGACCTAAGGTGATCCACCTGCCTCGGACTCCCAAAGTGCTGGGATTACAGGCATGCATGAGCCACTGCACCCGGCCTGCACTATGTAACTTTTCTATTAAATGCAACACTTAATGGCAGGAGATTCTTTAAAATAAATACATTTTTACAAAGAACTTGCATGGAGTTAAGCAACCAAGTAAAAGGAATAAAATCGGAAAAATAATAATTTGACAAAGGGGCCAGGAAGGCTAAAGACAATTTTAAAAGTCTCATTTCCAAGAAGTGAAATCAGGAAATCCGAGCATCTTAACTCCTTTATACCTTAAAGGAACTTCCTTGTAGCTTATAATTTAATCTCATGTTTTTTTCCTTTAGATAACAGTAGCAACTAACAAATACTAGAAAACCAGTGACTAGGCTTATGTGAGATATTCAAGAAATTCTGATTGAGTCTGAAAAACTAATAACTTTCCATATACTTTTATAAACCTCTTAAAATGTTCAAATCCAGGCACTGCTAGGCGAGCTGAGGCTGTCGAGTGAAACTATCCCATGAGACTCAGCATAATCAAGGCGAGTCCTGCAACGAAGGTTCCGTCATTAAAAAACCCACTGGACATGTGTTTTCGTTCCTTCACGTTTTACAAGGTCAGTGTATTTGTTCTGTGACTCAATTTCAAAACTTTGAAATTATGCAACATTAGATCAGATAGTTCTTAGGTTTGAGAATTTCAGCAGGGCCTAAGCCCAAGAGCTGTGCTGGGGAGATAAGCAGGAGGGGGAGGCCTCACACCTCAGACAGGATCCCAGCACTGGCAGGCTGCCACGTCTTAAAATATCAGCCACTGGGTCACCAGTGACTTTCCTCTGAGTCTTCTACCTGAGCTCATATACAGCTGATCAGTCACCGATTTCAGACCCTGAGCCGTCTGCTCTATGCACCTGCCCCCAGGACTCACTCCCACCAGTGGAGGGGCGGCAGTGCTGGTGGGAGCCACGCACACCTGACCCCTGCGCCTCAGCCAGGTGCCACCTCTGCTGCCGGAACCACCACTTCCTGAAGAACCAAGGAGTCCTCGTTCTGAGACACTGCCGGTCTTGCAGGGAGGCCTTTGTAAAAAACTCTCTTAAGGGGCGCCGCAGGACCTCCCAAAGGCAGCCTGCAAGGAGGAGGCGCTCCTGCAGCAGCCAGCGCCGGGTGGGAGAAGCGGGCACCCACCAGCAGAGGGCGCTGCAGGCCTGGCCCCAGCACACGCGGAGGCCGCGTGCACAGCTCCACCATCCGCACCCAACTCCCTCCTGGACTGCACCAGAACGATGATTCGCATTTTTCTCATATTAACATTGTGATCATACTAAAAATTCCAGAGAACTTATGTAATTCAAACAACTTTTTAAAATATTAGCTGAAGTATTATTTCAAATATTATAAAATGCACAATCATATTGATACACATCTTTAAAGAAGAAAGCCACCATGCGCGGGGGCTCACACTGGTAATCCCAGCACTTTGGGAGGCCGAGGCAGGCGGATTGCCTGAGCTCAGGAGTTTGAAACCAGCCTAGGCAACATGGTGAAACCCCATCTCTACTAAAAATGAAAAAAAAAAAGAATTAGCCGGGCGTGGTGGCACGCACCTGTGGTCCCAGCTACTTGGGAGGCTAAGGCAAGAGAATCACTTGAACCTGGGAGGCAGAGGTTGCAGTAAGCTGAGATTGTGTCACTGCACTCCAGCCAGGGCAACAGAGTGAGACTCTGTCTCCAAAAACAAGAAAAAGAAAAAAAAAGAAAAAGAAAGAAGGGAGGAAGGAAGGAAGGAAAGGAAGGGAGGGGAGGGGGAAGGAGAAAGGGGGAGGGGGAGGGAAGGAGGGCAGGTAGGCAGGCTATGATTGGGTTTCATTAAACGCTCTTACCTGATGGAAGAAATCCTCCATGAAATGGTCTTTCTCAACCACAACAACTGTGTCTCCATCATCATTCTTCCTACACTACAATGAAAAATGGAAAATTCAGATTTTTAAAATTTTTATGTAGGCACAAATAGAGAACTGAAATACAAAAACAGTTCAATACCCACAAGATCTCAACTCACTAGAGCACCAAATTGTAACAAACTAGCAGCCACCACCATCTACCCCAGCTGAACTCCACAACTTTTCAACAGAACAGATCCTGGCTGAAGCAGCCGGGAAGGCGCAAGACCTGCCCAGAAGCAAGGGGCGGCTTTCTCAGAACTAACTGCTTAGAATCGTTTAGTTCTCACTATGTAAGTCAACATCACACAGGCCAGTTTCACCTTCAAGAAGCGAACCTGCTTGTGTTGCATATTTTCCATGAACAGTAAAAACACTGGCCGGCCACAGTGGCTCACGCCTGTAATCCCAGCACTTTAGGAGGCTGAGGAGGGCGGCTTGCTTAAGTCCAGGAATTCAAGACCGGCCTGGGCAACAAGATTAAACCCTGTCTCCACAAAAAATTAGCCAGGCATGGTGGCACATGCCCGTGGTCCCAGCTACTTGGGAGGCTGAGGTGGGAGGACTACCTGAGCCCAGAAGGTTGAGGCTGCAGTGACCCTGTATCTAAAAACAAACAAAAACAAAACAAAACAAAACCCCAACATCATCCAGAAGAACGACCATTGATCAGGAGCTGAAGACCTGGGCTCCAGCCTCCTCCCCAGCAGCCCATTAGCTTGTCTCAGTCTCTGCCTCTTGTCCATGAAATACAGATAGTATTCTCCCATCTCCATCAGAAGACCCTAAGGATAAGATATTTATCAGTGTTTTATAAGGTAACACTACTTTCATGGGTCATATTAATATATAAACCAATAAAGGCTTTTGAAATTACTTCTAGTCCCTACTCTTTCTTTTCTTTTTTGGAAACACAGTCTAGCTCTGTCACCCAGGCCGGAGCGTGGAGTGCACAGTGGCAGGATCTTGGCTCACTGCAGCCTCCGCCTACTGGGTTCAAGTAATGCTTGCGCCTCAGCCTCCTAAGTAGCTAGGATTACATGCACCTGCCACCACACCCAGCTAATTTTTTTGTATTTTTAGTAGAGACGGGATTTCACCATGTTGGCCAGGCTGGTTTCGAACTCCTGAGCTCAGGCAATCCGCCCACCTCACCCTCCCAAATTGCTGGGATTACAGGCATGAGCCACTGCACCCAGCCCGTACACTTGTCATTCTAAGCAAAGAAGCACTTCAAGACAAAATGGCAATCAACTGACAAGCAGCAGAGACTAACATTAAGACAGACCCCACATAGTCTAACACTCTTCTCCAGGATCCCACACCACTCTAAAAACCAAAAAAGAACGGCTGAAGATACTGAGTGCCAGTGCCCAGGGTCTGCAGGAGGCAGGCCAGGTGTGTTATCTGTCAATCCTCCTGGTACCACACCCCCATCCCCGCCATGAGGCAGGTACTGGCATGGCTACTTCAGAGTAGAGCACATGCTCAATGGTTATGGTCTCGGAGCGAAGCGGTGCCGAACCAGTAGGTGAAGCCAGTCCATCTGACTTTCCAGAACTCCCCATCTTAACAGCTGTACCATGTTGAACCTCTTAAAAAGAGTAAGAGCTGTCCTTTAGTGCCAGCGCACAAGCGGCAGGCAATTTGAAACACGCTCCACACATGTTCTCATTGGTTTTATGGGCCCCACGTTGCCAGTGAGGAGGCGGAAACACAGTGCAGGGATCACTCAGCAGGGACGGCAGAGCAGAAGCGGCCTGTGGCTGTGATTCCACACACTCTGCTCTGACAAGCACACTCTACCCTGGGGGAAGATGGGATGGGGGAGGAGCTGTGCTGTGGACCCCACCAGCCACGCAGGCCAGGCCCCACAGACTCCCCTTGCAGGGACTCCCTCTCTTAGACAGAGGATCTATTCCCGTGTGTGCCAGCCCCGCCTCTCGGGCCCACAGCCTGCTCCCTCCCTGTCTCCAAGCGCTCACTTGGGCAAACTAAATCCCACTAGCTGGGCCCGGGGTCTCACTGCTTCCCTGTGGCTATCTGCCTTCTCTTCTCAGCTGTGCGGTCTCAGAGGCGCACGGCCAGGAATGATGGAATGAAGCATGACCACGTTAAGTCGTTGACTGTGCATTCACCCAAATACCCATGGAGGGGGTGGGGAGGAGGGGCAGAGAGCTGAAACTGAGCTGCAGACTGCGCTTGTGGCCCTGAGCCCGGGGCCATAAAAGTGCTTCACCCCACCCTGGAGGTGCCACGTGGCTCTCAGGGCATCTCACACCTCCCTGCTCTGTCAGTAACTTTAGGTTCTAGATTCAAAGTCACCTCATTTTTGTTTATTTGGAAAACTGTAAACATATACAAAAGTAGAAGGAATACTATGGGTGAGCCCTCACTGTCCCCATCACCCAGGCTTAACAATGGTCAAGCCACAGCCTGTCTGTTTAGGTTGACACCCGCCTCTTCCCACCACTTCCTATCCCACACCATAAGACCATCTTGAGGCAAATCCCACGAGGCAGATGCTACTGTGGAGACTGCACCTGCGACTCCAGCAAAGAGGCTGCACCCATCTCACTGCTCCCCAGCACCACGCTTCCCTGTGAAAGCAAGTCGCTTTCCATGGTGACCTTCCCATGCTGTGCGATGGCCCCCACAGTGGCGTGGTGTAAACAACTAGAGGCTCAGTCCTCCTCTCCCATGGTGACTGTCCCATGTTGTGCAATGCACCCCCACAGTGGTATGGCGTCAGTCCTCCTCCACTCTGAACCCATGGCACAGGCAGATTTTTGTTCCGAGTCATTCGCTTGCTGGTAAACAATGTGGTTCTCTACCTGTAGACCAGGAAATATCCACATGACTGGAATATGTTTCCTCTACCGTCTTATTTCTTATTCCTAAGCCTTGACTTATATGTCTTATTTCTACCTGGAACTCTTAAAACTGATCAGATAACAGGAAACAGACCCAATAATACTGTCTTTGCTTTTCCATTCAAAAAAAAAATGACCAAAGCAATCTTTTTGGCTTTATCCCTAAGCTACATTATTCTCATCTTCAATGAATGTCCACGTTCAGTCTTTCAAGCTGAGACAGTGCAACAGCTGTACAACAGCCATGATCATGAGAGGGTATTCATTGTAAATAACCAAACCGCTTGTGGCAAACGTTTACTACAAGCCAGGGAATACTCTCCTATATGACATACTTGATTTCCCAAGTGTCAAAGTACAGGATAAACATTTAAATATCAGCATTCCATTTCTGTTACATGTTAACAGAAGTCTCCTTAAAAGAAGCATTATAGTAAAATCACAACTCCCCCGTGTGAATACTATTGTCAGGAACAGGTAGCAGGTAGCTTCCTGGTGTAGAAACTGTGTAACAGAAAAGAGAGTCATTGGAACACTCATCATTTATAATTCAACAGAAGCTGAACTATCACAAATGGCAGAATCCAAAGCTGGACAGAATCCTGACTTTCTTCTGCATGTTGTTCACACACACATGCTAAGGAACTTCCACACAAATAGTAACTGTAGACAAATAAATTACAAACCTTGACATAGACACAGTGGTTTTAGTACTATGTTGCTAGAATACTTTGACTTATTTTTCACAATTAAATCACTTAGGTAGAAAAAGAAAAGACTTGTAACTAAACGTAGGTAAAAGCTGGCCGCATGCGGCAGCTCATGCCTGTAATCCCAGCGCTTTGGGAGGTTTAACTGGGAGGATCACTGGAGCTCCAGAGTTTGAGACCAGCCTCGGCAACATGGTGATACCCCATTTTTGGTACAAAACATACATAAATCAGCCAGGTGTGGTGGCTCACACTTGTGAGGATCCCCCGAGCCCAGGAGATTGAGGCTGTACTGAGCAGCGATGGTGCCACTCCAGCCTGGTGACAGAGAGAGACTTTGTCTCAAAAAACAAGTAAGTAAATGCTGACTCTGGGCCAGTGTGTAACTATGGTGCTAAACGTAACCTACTCTCTCATATTTGTGTATGGTGAATTACACTTTTATACCCACGATAAAATGTTACAGTTTTAAATTTTTTTGTATTTTTACTAACACTTGTTCCCATTATTATTATATAAATACTTTTTAACAGGCAGTTAGACTTTATGTAAGTAGTGTTATCCTTACGCAATTTTTTTTTTTTTTTTTTTTGGAGGCAGGGTCTTGCTCTATCACCCAGGCTGGAGTGCAGTAGTGTGATCAGAGCTCACAACAGCTTCGACCTCCTGGGCTCAGGCGACCCCTTCGCCTCAGCCTCCTGAGTAGCTGGGACTACAGGTACACATATTTTTTTTAGAGATGAGGTCTAGCCATGTTGCCCAGGCTGGCCTTGAACTCCCGGGCCCAACCAATCCTCCCACCTTGGTCTCACCGAGTGCTGGTATTACAGGGGTGAGTGACTGCACCCGGCCTGCCTCTGCAACTTAATCATTTTTTTTGTTTTTTTGGTTTTTTTCCTCTCAGCTATACATTCAGATTTCTCCACTCAGCATGTATCGCTCTAGTGTTAGGTGAAACCACACCATATGGGTCAACCTCATACACTCATCTTACCTGCTGCGTACACTCCTTTACATAAAAAGCCACGATGTGTTATTCATCCAGGCTCCTATTGGCCCTAACATTTTTCCGTTTCCAACAATGTAACAAACCACGGTTACACGGCTGCACGCGCATGGCTTTCTGGAACACACGCACATATGCAGAGAGAGGACCATGAGCCATGGGGCTGAAGCGTCTTCAGCTTCACTAAACAATGCCAAATTGCTCTCCAAAGCAGTTGCAATAAATTGGATGCCCCCAGCACGGCACGTGGACATGAGACACTGCCAGGCTAATCTTGAGCTACCAAGGGCCCATCCCTTGATCTCGCCCGAGGAATAAGGATCAAAACTGACATGATGAAGCCCGGAGAGCCTGAACTAGAGAGGATTTAAACTTGGGAGCTGGGGGCAGCCCCTTTACATCAGGTCGTGAAGATGAAGAGAAACC